GGGGTGGGGGGTTGCTGCCTGTCATCACACCCATGTCTGGGCCAGCCTGCTGACTCTGGATGCTCCCAAGCTTCTGATCCTTGGGGATCCCAGAACCCTTTATAAATTCCAGGCCCGAGGCACCCGGGCTGGAGGGGTCAGCCTGCATCCAGTTTCTCCAAGTCCCTCTTGGAAAGTTCTGCCACTTGTTCCTCCTGTCTCACCCTCTGATTCCACAGGGAGGTAAAACTAGCATGAAGGACCCTAGAAACCTTTTTTGGGGGGACTCTCTTCTCCCTCCATCTGCTGCTCTCTTTTCTAAAACTTCCTCTAGCCTCCCCTAATTCAAGACCAGTGTGTCAGCGTGTCTGGGTGGGACAAGGATGTCAGCCGTGCATGGAGGGAGGAGAGGTGTTTACCATCCTAAATGCAGCCAGCTCTAAATGTCCACCTCATGGTGCTTCTCCAATGACTTGCTTAAAATTAACAGTCAGCACAGAGGTGTTTCAGAGTTTACTTGCTCCCAGCTTCCCCAGCACCTGACCTTGCAGCTTTGCTAGTCTGATAGGGAAGAGTCTTCTCCTGGCTGGCTCTGGCTGGGTCAGGGGCTGGCAGGGGATGCGGGTACTGTTATAGAAACTTCTGGCCAGTCCTGTTCGCACTCCTGTCTTCAGCTTCTCCCTCAGCTACCTGGTGCCCCAGGTCCTGAGCTTCTCTGGGGTTGGTGCTGAGAACCTACTCGCTTCTCCTGGCTCTCTCCTTTCCCCTCTGCACCCCTCTGCTCCCCTCCCAAGCCCTAGCTTCCTCTCGTCTGCTGTTAGTTACCATTTTCAAACATTAAAATTTTTGTCCACATTCCTTATCTTCTGTTGTTTCTTTTATTCTCTTTAATTATTCCTTACCTGTCATCTTAAAAGGGTGTTAGGAAGGGGCAAAATTAATGCGGGCGTCTCTCAGTCTGCCGCATCTCATCAAGACAGATGTGTCTCCCTGCCAGACTGTCAGCCTCTCCGAGGCAGGAAGTGCCTGCAGCACCTCGGCCACATGTCTCTCCTGGCTCACGAACTCGGCTCTGTTCTCCCCTCTGCAAGGCTGAATTGAACTTTGAGCCTTGCTTGATAGACCCACTGACAGGACAAAGAAATAATATATATCCCAGCAAGGAGGATGAGTTAGGACCTTGGCCGGTGACACTATGGCTTTCCCTACGTGACGACCTTGTCCAGGCCAGTGGAGGCCCACGCCACGAGAAGAGGGGGACCGCCTTTGTGGCTGGGGTGCTGGCTTTCGGGAGTTAGAGCTGGACTTGGCTCCTGGGTCCACTTATTCCTGGGACTTTGGGGGGTGGGGCTGTGAGCAGTGTGAACCTCAGTTTTCTTATCTGTAAAATGAGGATGGTGTCCCTTAACCCAGGGACGAGTTGAGGTCATGTAGCAAAATGTTTAACTGAGAGGCTGGCACAGTAGAGGCTGGCACAGTAGAGGTTACCACGATCATTGTCTTGTTGTCTCCACCACCTCCGGTCATTGTGTGAGTGTGTGTGGGGTGGGGGGAGGGCGGAGGGCTCAAGCACGACTTCGTCTCACGGTCCCCACCTGCTATGTCATTTCCTCGGGGAAGATGAAACCTCCCTGTGTCTAACCTCTTCCTCTGGGGACTGTAATCTGCATTTATTCTTGCAGAAGAGGCTTCGAGTGCCGGTCCAGGCGGAGATGCAGTGACTTGGAAACTAACCCCTTGGCCGGGACTTGGAAACTACCCCCGGCTCTGCCTCGGTTGGCCATGTCACCTGAGGGAGGCCACTTCACCTCCCAGCTTCCTTGGACGGGATCAGCTTTCCCTGTGACCTATGGATTATTAATAGATAGTAACGGATAAGGGTCCACGGTCCAGTCTATTTAGGAAATGTTGGTTAAATGAAGTTAAATAATAATTATAAAATATAATAATGTAATACAATATTTCTTTATAAATAGTGTGGTGTACCACTTAATGCTATTATATAATAATACGAACATCGGGTGCTGACGATCTACCAGGCACACTTGCAAGCTCTGTTTCATTTAACCCTCGAAACAACCCCATGGATCAGGTGGTGGTTATTATCTCTACTTAGCAAACGAGATGCTGAGCTGTGAATCTCCAAAAGGGAGCTGGAACACGCAGTGTGTCTGGTCTTACCTGACAGTGGATTCCCTTCCCCACAGGACCCGGTGGTGCTGGGCGCTCTGGAATGAGCTGGGGCGAGGCTGGGCAGGAGGCCATCTAGGATCCCTGGGAATCGCAATTCCTCTTGTGTCTCCTGACACTGTGTGTCCCTCCCATGCAGTCTTCAGACCTCTTGCACCCTCCACTCAGGGAGTCCTCCACTCAGGCGTCTGCTCTCCTGTAGCCAGAGGGGCTCCTGGTGGTGGGCAGTCTGTTTACTGAAAGGGAGCAGCCTCTCGGCCACCCCATCCCATCTCTGGGGAGGGCAGCCTGTACAGACTGTTCTCCCGAACACTTGGTGGCTGAAAGCCACACAGCTCACAGTGGAAGGTGCCAGGCACTGTGTGGCTAAAGAGCAGGAACAGGCGATTCTTCCTCAGCTTGGCCTGCCGGCTGGGGTTGGCTGCCCTCAAATTGGCATCACATTTGGGGAGGTATGGAGCCAAGGGAGTTCTGGAGCAGGGGTTTCCTTGAAAGGCAGAGCAGAGCCTCTCACAAACTCAGGAACCCAGCTAATTGTCAAGAGGTGAAGCTAGAGGGCCTCCCTGGTGGTGCAAGGGGTTAAGCGTCAGCACTATCAAGCTCTCTGCTGCATGAGTTTGATCCCTGCCAAGGAGCAACCCACATGGCGCAGCAGACCTCTCCTCACTCGCCTGCTGCTCCCCTCAGCAGTGTATTTCAGTCAGTCTGCCTATTCTGCTCCCCACTCTGCCTCTGGTGAATCCTCTCACCACATTCTCCACCCCTCCCCTGCCCTCCCGCACCTCTGGCTTACACTCCAGCTCTTGTATGCATAAATAAATAAAATAAATCTTTAAAAAAAAAAGAGAGTTGTGGAAGCTAACCACTGTACTCCTGGCTGGGGACCTCTGGCGAGTCGCTGCCCTCTTGGACCCTGTTTGCTCATCTGCAGTGGACGAGAAGACCCTTTCCACTGTGTTGCTGTGAGATCGGAGAAGTCGTAGTAAACTGTGTTTGTAAACTCACTGTCCTATAGTCAACCGCTCTTGGGATCATGGTCCTGGGGTCAGGGGCTGGGCCTCCAAACTCCTGTGAAGTTTAGGGAGCTCAGAACTCCTCAATCTTTGTTTCTGTCTCTTCCCTCCAGCAGGCCAGAGAAACCAGGACCCAGCTGGGGCTTGGTGTACATAGCAACTATCTAGACCTCTCCCTTCCCCCAAAAGGAGCTGGCCTCTTTGAGGCCAAATGAAGGTGACTCACCTCTGAGTCAGACCACACCCTGCTTTCAGGTCTGGCCTTGGGTCACGCTTTCTTCCCCCTTTGGGGCCACAGGGCCCACCTGTAGGTCTGATTCATTATATAAATAGCCTCAGGCTGGCCTGCCCCAGTGGCTCAGGGCAACTTCTGGTGGTTGAAGTGTGAGTGGAATTTCCTGCCCCTGTTCCTGGACAAGTCAGTGGTCAGGAGACAGTTTCCTGGGGACTCAGGTTTCAAGTTTGGGGGGACAAGTCTTCACTTAGCCACAGGTGATTCAGGGAATAATATATAGAGAGGAGGGCTGAGATTTCACAGGGGAAACTGAGGCCTGGAGCTGGGGGACTGGGTGACTGGGGCATCCTCCTGACACCTCTGAAGGGCCCAGAGGTTGGGGGACTGCTCTGACATAAGGATGAGAAGGAAGCATGGGGAGAGTGCCCTGCAGTGTCTGGCAGGGGGTCCTCCAAAGTATTCAAACAGGAGAGAGGAACTGAGCTGGGGCAGAGGAGAGGGGTGGTGGGGGGGCAGTGGGTGGTGCCCAGGGACCCCTTCCTCTCTAATCAAAACACTTTGCTTTGTGCAGGTACTTTTGCAGAACCCTCCCTAGCAAGTCACCCCCATTCATGGGGACAGGCACCGTTGGGCACAAGGATTTAGTCTCTGACACCCACTTATCAGATGCTCACGAGGATGAGCTGGTGGCAGGTGCTAAATGTCTCGTGGGCAAGCTAACTTTCCCTCCACCCCACCCCAGGCTTAGGTGCCTTATGGAACAGTTAAAGCATCCCGCAAATCTGTGTTGAATGAATGCATACTTTGGGGGTTACAAGTAGGGGGTTGTCCTGGTAAGAGGGTAGGCACTACACCCACTACACCTCTGTAGAGGGGTCACTCCCCAGTGTGCACTCACTGCCCCTGTTTTGCAGAGGGCTAGAGGCTGCTTCCCTTGAGCTTGGGGCTGTCCAGGTGCGGCACTGCTCCAGCCGTGGAACTGCCTCTCGGCAGCTGCCCCAGGAGGCCCCGTCACCTTGGAGCACTGGATGGCCACAGCAGTGGGGGGAACAACTTGGTCTCAGGAGACCAGGAGGGTGCAGCTCAGAGCACCCTTATGTGGGGGATGAAGGGAAGTCAGGGTGTGGGTGACCCCCAGGGTTGGGTTCTGAGAGGCTATAATTCCGAATGGGGTGTAGGAATCAGGTGAAAGTGCTTTGGGTGGGGAGTTAACCTGCTCACAAGGGGCCTCTGCGTGCGTGCACACTGGGGAGTGACCCTCATTCCTAGAGGGGTGGCAAATGCTCCGTGACCTTAGTGGCGGAGGGCTAGAATATGAAATTGGGGGTTGTCTAGATGTGCGTGTGATGGGGTGAAGATCGGGATAAGCCTGGTAGGGGACTAGCTTCCGGATTGGATGGGGTGGAGCAGCTCCCCAGGGCAGCCCCTGGAGCGGGAGAGCTGGGGGCAGCGTGGCCACGAGCTGACCAATGGGGAGAGCGCCTGTGTTTGCACTCTGGAGACTGCAAATTCCTCAGACTGCAGATACCCGCCCCGACACCCTCCCCCCTCGGCTGCCCGGACATAAAAAGGCCCCAGGGGAGGGCCCCGCCACTCCCCTGCACTGCAGCCTCTCCACAGCAGCTCCCCTGACAGGTGTCCCTGTCCTCCTCCGCCATGACTTCCTTTAGCTACCGCCAGTCGTCGGCCGCCTCATCCTTCGGGGCCCTGGGCGGCGGCAGCCTGCGCTTCGTGCCCGGAGGGGTCTTCCGCGCGCCCAGCATCCACGGGGGCTCGGGCGGCCGCGGCGTCTCGGTGTCCTCCGCTCGGATCCTGTCTTCGTCCTCCGGGGGCTACTATGGCGGCGCCCTGGCCAGCTCCGACGGGCTGCTGGCGGGCAACGAGAAGCTCACCATGCAGAACCTCAACGACCGCCTGGCCTCCTACCTGGACAAGGTGCGCGCCCTGGAGACGGCCAACGGCGACCTGGAGGTGAAGATCCGGGACTGGTACCAGAAGCAGGGCCCCGGGCCCGCCCGCGACTACAGCCACTACTTCAAGACCATCGAGGACCTGCGAGGCCAGGTGGGCGGCGGCCCAGCGGAAAGTGCACCTGCCGCGGGAACCCTGCCCCGCGGGCCGGGCGAGGCCGGAGGAGCGGGCTGGCGGGCTTAGGAGTCACCTGCCCCGGCCAGGGTGGGGCTGGAGCGAGCCGGGAGGGTGGGGCGGGCCTGGAAAAGGGGCGGGCTAGGGGGGCAGGACTCGGAGGCAGGGATGGCTCATTAGTGGGCAGGCGTGCGGGGGGTGGGGCACGTTGGAGGGCTGGGAGGAAGGGGCGAGACCTGGAAGCGGGGTCCGCAAGAACGGGAGGAGATGGGACACTGGCTGTGGCCTGCACGGAGCGCTAAGTCAGGGGCTTCGATTGCTGCACAAAATGCTAGAATTTGGCCTGGGTTGAATCTGGTCTATTCCGGGCCAGACCTGTGCCTGCTGCCTCCAGATTGGGCGCCTCTTACAGGGAGGGTGGGGTTGGGGGTGTGTGTGTATGACCCTAAGGGGTCTGCAGAGTGAGGCTTGGTCTCCAGCCAAGGGAGCTGGGTCCTGAGGAAAGGGATCAGAAGCCAGTGGGACAATTAGTGGCCGCACATGCTGGGTTTCCAAACTTGACGCTGTCCACAGCATTGCTCAGTATCTGGGGTGGTGAGTGTGTGTGTGTGTTGGGGGGGGGGGCACAGATGGGGCTCAAACAAACAAGGAGGGGGAGCTAGAGATGCGACCCACCAACTAGGATGGTGCTTTCACACTTCAAGTTGTGACCTACACTTTGTATGGACCTTAACACCATTCATTCTCTCTTTCACATATACCATGAGGTAAATGTTTCTTGAAGCAATTCTTACCTTACTGGGGGTGATCCCACCTGACATTTTATTTTTTGTTCTATCTCATTATAAAATATGCAAGTCACCACCCAGTACGATGACAATGACTCATGACCTGCTCTTTGGTAAAAAACTGTGCCCTAGTATCTCCGTCAGTGATGGGCATAACCTCAGGTCAGAGAGACTTCAGATTGGGGTGCATGTGCATGAGGAATCCTGAACCTCAGTTGCTACCTCTGTAAAATACGTGTATGCACTGCCCTGGTGCGAAAGATGAAATGCAAAGCACCTGCACATAGTAGTTGCTCAAGGTGTGAAATTCCCTTCCCAGAGGCAGAATGTGTTTTGAGTGGGGGCACAGACAAAGGGGTAACCCCAGGCTTCCCTGCCCCTGGTTTGCAGAGGGCTAGAGGCTGCCTTGCTTAAGATCATTTTAAGTTTCCCTGGGCACAGTTCTCAGACTTTCCACCAGGTTTACCTCCCTGCCCTCCCCAGCCCATGCCCACCCCCTTCAGCCTCCTAGGGAGTGGAGGCATGCTCTTTGCTCCTCTGGGGGAAGGTGCACGGGCAGTGCCAGTATGCTGACCTTCTGCCAAACTCCTGCCTTCCAGATTCTTGGTGCCACCATTGAGAACTGCAGGATTGTCCTGCAGATCGACAATGGCCGCCTGGCTGCCGATGACTTCCGAACCAAGTGAGTATCTCTGCCCTGGGGACTGCAGGGACCCAATGGGGGGTGGGAGGTGCTGGCCCAGATCCTGGTGGGGCTCAGTACATTGGGGGAATGGGCTCTGCCTTCACCCACCCCACAGGCCCCCATGGGCACATGGGAGCATCTTTAAAGGTGCAGAGCACACGTCTGCCTGATTTCAACTGTTCTCCGACAGGTTTGAGACAGAGCAGGCTATGCGCGTGAGCGTGGAGGCGGACATCAATGGCCTGCGCAGGGTGCTGGACGAGCTGACCCTGGCCAGAGCCAACCTGGAGATACAGATTGAAGGCCTGAAGGAGGAGCTGGCCTACCTGAAGAAGAACCACGAGGAGGTGGGTTTTATGCTGGGTCTTTTAGTTTCTCCAAGAGAAGGGTGATTTTCTGTCCTGCGTCCTCTGAATGGGCATACCTGCTGCACCCTCGGCGTGGCCCTGTGTGTGCAGCACAGCAACCAGGGTCCCGGCAGGGGATGATGGGGACATGCAGTCTATCCCCCACTGCTGACTTTGAGGTCTCCATCTGAAAATGACCCCCTTTGGCCCGGGGGGCTGGGGTACGACCTGGCCTAGGCCCAGCAGACTCTGGGCCCTAACATGTGCATCTCTGCTCTATCTTTCTAGGAGATCAGCACCCTGAGCGCCCAGATGGGTGGTCACGTCAGTGTGGAGGTGGATGCTGCTCCAAGCATAGACCTAGGGAAGATCCTGAGTGACATGAGGAGCCAGTATGAGGTCATGGCTGAGAAGAACCGAAAGGATGCCCAAGCCCGGTTCATCACAGAGGTGCGGAGGGGGGCAGGCACCCCATGGGGAGGTGGTGCAGAGAGGGCTTGGAGCTGCCAGGCAAGATCTGCCTCATGCTTATTCCCTCCACCTCCTCTTGTGCAGACCGAGGAGCTGACTCAGGTGGTCACGAGCCACTTGGAGGCGCTGAAAAACAGCGAGAAGGAGGTGACCGACCTGAGGCGCACCCTGCAGAGCCTGGAGATAGAGCTGCAGTCCCAGCTCAGCGGGGTAAGTACCTGTGCCCCCTGGGATGCACCCCTGGGCTGCCTGGTGGGTGGCTGTGCCTGTGTCCTCTCTGCTGAGTGTCCTGTTCTCCCCTGCCCTCAGAAAGCCTCCCAGGAAGGCGCACTGGCAGAAACAGAGGCCCGTTATAAAGCCCGCCTGGCAGAGATCCAGATGACAGTGAACGCCATGGAAGCCCAGCTGAGCAACATGCGCACTGACATGGAACGCCAGAACCAGGAGTACCAGGTGCTCATGGACATCAAGTCCCGGCTGGAGCAGGAGATCGCCACCTACCGCAGCCTGCTGGAGGGCCAAGACGCCCTGTACAACAACCTGCCCACCAACAAGGCCCTCTGAGTCCCCTTCTGCCTGCGGACGGTGTCCCCTGGGGAGGAGGGACCCCACCCTGGCTCTTCCCCTGAACTGCCAATAAAGTTTTATGGCCCAAGAAGGAAGGACTGGGGTTTCTTATTTCAGCGCAGGGGCATGGGCCGCTTTCTGCCTGGTTTGGCTTTTATTTGGACCAGAGTATATAAGATCTGCCCCAGGAGAGGGAGGTGGGAGTCCTCATGAACTTTGACTGTTTGCAGGGATCTTCATTTTTCTAACCTGTTCCTGCAGGTTAGGTTGTGAATAAGCACTGCTCCCATTCGACAGAGGGATAAACTAAGGCCAAGAGAGGTCACGTGGTTTGTTCTACATGTAACTAACACAGAGCAAAGGTGGGATTTAAAACTGGTTTTTGCTTCCAGATTTAGTTTTCCTTCCACTGTTCTCCCCCAAGGGTAAGCTAATGTTTACTGATGACACCCCTAAAAGGTAGTATGAGCTGCATCTCAAAGAGCAGGAAACAGGCTCAGAGAGGTTAGGTGACGTGTTTAAGGTCACACAGCCACTACATAACAGATCAAGGTCCAGAATCTGTTTCCTGATTTTTTTTAAATATACATTTAGTAATTGAATATATAACAAATTTATATTGAAATTTATATATATGTAGGTGTATATTTCATTTTGCCATGTTGCATTCTCACTTTTCATTTTTTTTTTTTTAAGATTTATTTATTTATACAAGAACTGGGGTATAGTCAGAGGCGCAGGAGGGTGAGAGAATTCACCAGAGAGAGCCGGGAACAGAACAGGCAGATGGACCAAAGATACTGCTGAGGGGAGCAGCGGGTGAGACAGGACAGGTCTGCCAAGCCATGTGGGTTTCTCCCTGGCCAGCCGGGAATCGAACCCACGCTGCAGAGGCTGTGGACAGCTTCACAGCGCTGCGCTCAACCAGCTGCTCCGCCGGGGAGGACCTAAGTTTCCTGATTCTTAACAGACTACACCCTAGTCTCTTTTTTTAAAAAAATATTTATTTATTTATTTGTTTATACAAGCGCTGGGTACAGTCAGAAGCGCGGGAGGGTGAGAGAATTCACCAGAGCCAGAGCGGGGAGCAGAGCAGGCAGAAGGACCGAAGTACACTGCTGAGGGGAGCAGCGGGCAGCAGGAGAGGTCCGCGCCATGTGGGACCCTCGCTCGGTGGCCGGGGAGCAGCTGGGTATCGAACCGGCGCTACAGAGGTTGCGGGCAGCTTCACAACCCAGTGCTCAACCGCTGCGCTACCGGGGAGGCCCCCTGGTCTCCTTTTGACACTATTTGAGCCAGGTCCTCAGTACCTCCCAGTCCTGCTTTCTGTGAACCATCAGGGCTGAGCTCCCCTGGGGCAGTTCCTTGGGACACTCTTCTTTAGCTAACTGAAGGAGAAACTGGGGTTTGGGTTCAGAGCCTATGTAATGGGGCAGGCATCCTTGGAGCAGGACTGGAGAAAGTGTGCCTGCCGGTGTGTGTCTGCCCTCGTGTGCATGCACTAACATATTCATCCATTCCTGGGCACACCACTACGGCCCTTACGCCCACCACCTCATACCTGGGCCCGGAGCCTAGAATGGGACCCCGCTGTGACCCAGACCTCCCGCATAGACCCCCACACTGGTCCGCTTGGGGCCAGTCCTGGGGCAGCAGGGGAACACAAGTCCCAGCTTCCTGGTACAAATCTGCCCTTGGGTGGGTATGTTCCTGCCCTGTGGTTTATGCTCCACTGCCAAGAACTGAGGCCAATTAAAGGTAAGGGAGAAGATCCACTTCCCCCTAGCTGAGAGTCTCAGGTGCTGGGCATGCCAGAGCCCATGGATCTGTGTGTGATAGGAAGTTGCCCCTGCGAGGAAGGGGGTATATGAGGAGCCCTCACTTCCTGTTCCCCAAGAAAGTCTTATAGGGGAGGGTTGATGCTGATGCCCGCGCCCTGTTTTCCCCCTTGCTAATCCTAAAGGAGGTTTTTTTTCTGCTACTTTCCTGTGGGCCTTGCTCCAAATCACAGCCCCGTGACCCCAGACCCAACTTTCTTCTCTCCCTGCTGCTGCTCTGGGCCAGGACCCCCTCGGCCACCCTCCCAGCTGCTCTGCTCTGGCCTCCAGTTCCCACAGTCCTCTCCCTCCCCCAGTTAACTTCCGAGGAGACCAGAGACCTGGCAGCCACCCCTAGGCTGTGCTGAGGCATTGTCCCTTGTTAAAGCTGCTGTTGTCACAGTTGAAACTCTCCACATGCCCTAGAGGCCCCTGGAATGTGACTGAGGGGCAGCCCGCGCCCACGGGTGGGGCAAGTGACTGGGTCAGGTCTGGGAGTCTGGAATGAAGCCTGCCTTTGTGTGAGCGGAGGGTGGGGAGACAAGGGCAGGGACACTTTCCTGCTTCAGTCTGGGAGCTAAAACTAGGGGTACTCCGGAGAGCCCCTGGGAAGGGAGAAGGCAAGACAGGAAGGGGTTGGGGGCCTGGGGGCTGGACCTTTCTGCCTCTGCTGGTCAGCAAGACCTCTCCAATTTGCAAAGCATTTCCTGTCAGTCATCTGGCTCCATCCCCTTGTCCCCTGAGTCAGACTGGACAGGAGTTATTCCCATTTTCATGATTGGTAAATGAAGGCTCAGAGAGAGGAAGCAAAATTTCCAATGTGTGAGAAAAGAGAAATTCAAAGGTCCCCCGCAGGTGCTCTGTTGTGAACATCTCCCTGGGGAGTTGGGGGTGGTGGTGGAGGGGGGGAGGGTGGAGTCCAACTTTCAGGAGCTCCCTTGATCCTTGCGCCACCTAATGTTCGCTGCGGGCCCCGCAACAGAGTGCATGCTAATGATCTAATTTCTTTTTTTTTTTCAATACACAATAACCATCTTAACCATTTTTAAGTTTCTAGTTCAGCGGTACTAAAAAATTTCCAGCATGGTGCAGCCATCACCCCCATCCACGCTCATCAGTCTCATCTGTAACACTCTGTATCTATGAAACAGCTCGCATTCGCCCCCGCCCCAGCCCCTGGCCACCACCGTGACCAATTTGAAGCGCAGCCTGGCTCAGAGAGGTTGAGTCACTGCAGAGGCGGAGTCCAGCCCTGGCTCTTTCCCTGGGCTGTTGGCTTCCTCCCAAGGCGGGAAGGTGCTGTGCAGCAGGCAAAGGACAGAAACTGGCACAGCTTTTGGACGGGCTGCCTGGGGCCGGGCTGGGGGTGCAGCCTGGTCTGGGGCCTGATCTCTGTGCTCCCCCAGCCATGCCCACCTGGTGCTGAGGAGAAGGCCCTGGGCTCCACCCTGACACTGAGCTTAACTGAGGTTTGGACTAACATGGGATTTGTGGCGGGGGCGCTGCCACCCCAGCATGGGCCTGAGAGTGGAGGAGAGCCATCTTGAGCAGCTGCTGGAGAGGAGTCAGGACGGAGAAGAGGGGCTGGCTGGGGTCCAGTCCTCCCTCACCCCAGGGTGATGGCATGTAATTGTTCACGTGTTAATTGCTGGGGCCGTAATGTCTGCAGACGCTTTAATGAGCTATGGCTGATCTGACTTTGATTATTTTTCTTTCGGAGGAATAGACACTATTCTCCCACCCAGGAGACAATACCGCACTGTCTGGGCCCAGCACTCAGAGGCAGGCTGGCTGCGGAGCTGGGGAGGAGCAGCCCACTCCCAAACACCCAGGCCTACTGGTCCCCTCCACAGCCCTGAACTCAGATGCAGGAAACTGGGGTTCTTGGGGGGGGCACACTTTTCCTTTTCCCTGCTTGAGAGGGTGTCAGAGGATCCATTTGAGTCCTGGTGATGCCCCTTACTAGCTGTGCCCTTTTGCCCAAGTTGTTTCCACCCTCTGAGCCTTATTTTCATTTCTTCTGAAACAGGGGCGGGGATCATCCTCTGTGGTGTGGATTGGAGAGGCAACAGGTACGAAAGTGCCTTGTAAACCGTGAAGCGTGCAGTGGAACCAGCGATGACGGTTATTATAGTAATAATAACAGTGGCCTGCATCGCCCAAGAGGCCCTGGCTGTGGGAGGGCATGCAAGAGTGATACTTTCACCAGCAAGTACTTAGTCCCCGCGGTCCCAGGTACTGGATATGCCCCCACTCTCAGGCTTCTCAGAAGATGGCGGGCCAGGAGGAGGCAGGATGGGAGCTCTCTCAGGCCTCAGGGCTTCCCTGGGAGAGCTGAATGCAGAGACTTCAAGGTAACAGGTCCAGCGGTCAAGCAACAATGGGCAGAGGCCGGATTTGAACGCAGGCAGGCCTGGGCCTGGAGTCTTCCTGCTGATGTCCCAGCTCAGTCTCACTTACCTCCCCCACCTCTGGTCCTCTCTGCAGCCCGGAGCAGGGTCAGAGGGCCAGGCCACACTGGTCAGTGGCACTGCCCACAGGAGTTCCCTGAGCTGGCAGAGGAAAGGGCTCCTGGGCATTGGACTCCTGCCTCTGGCTTCAGCATCTTCCCTGGGATGGGACTTGCTGCCTTGTCTCCGCAGGTATCTTCGTGCCTGCCTGCCAGGCTCCCCGTGCACTCCCTCCCCAGATGCTCAGGCACGCAGATCTCTCCAACCTCTCAGCGCTTGATAGGACACACGGGGGTTAATCCGGCCCCGCGGTGCAGCGACATGCCTCTCCCTGGAGGAGGCAGGGGCTTCCTGGAACATGCCCCTGTCTTATCTGCAGAGGTTTGCCCCAACGTGTCCCAGGAGCAAGAGAGGTTCAGTGACATGTGCAGTTGGCAGCTGGCAGGGTGATCAGTCCGCCCCTTGTCAATCTGGAGCCTGCTGGCTTTTGTGAGTGCCAGTGCCATGGGGCTGGGGGCGGCGGGGGCTGGACAAGCCGGAAGGGCTGTGTGCCAGGAGGCGAGGTTGCGGGGAGGAGCAGAGCCCGTTTGCAGCATCTGGGCAGTGGCAGATGCTGCCTCTTCTGGCCATCCCATCGGGAGCTTGACTCAAAATCCCAGCTCTGGTCCTTAGCCTGTCCCCAGATGCCCCTGCCCACAGACCCCCAGGGGGCTCCGTTCCCCTGAGCTCTGCAGGCTTACATGCTGGGGCTGGGAGCGGGACAACACAGAGCAGCCTCTGGGAGTGGCTTCGCAAACTAAGAGCTGGAGCTGGCGGCCTGGGGGCGAGGGTCCCGGACTAGGGGGTAGCAGAGCCCAGGGCAGGGTTGGCCTGAGCTGCTAGTGGCGCAGGCAGTCATCTGGAAGTTGCAGCATGATGCGACTTTGCTCCTTGCCTGCTAATCTCCGCCTTCCGCCTTCTCTTGGAGTGCAGAGATGAACCCGAAATCCAAGTGTTAAAACCATGGCCAGGGGCAAAACACCATTCATTCTGAATCATTGCTTTTGTTGCAATTAAAAAAAATGAAAAGACAACTCCACACCAGCCGCTTGGAGGAGGTGTGCCGGCAGATGTGTTTGTCAGGAACGCAGAAGGAGTTGGCTTCACTTTGGGGGAGGAGACGCGGTCTCACAACCCCTTCCAGGGGGTATATAAAGAGTCCCGGGCAAGGGGTGACAGGCATAGCGCTCCGCTTTCTGTCCCGTGCGCCAGCCTCTGCCAGTGACTCCGTGCTCCCTGAGAACCCACAGCTGCCTGGCCATGAGCACCACGTTTCTGCAGACTTCTTCCTCCACCTTTGGGGGTGGCTCGACCCGGGGGGGCTCCCTCCTAGTTGGGGGAGGTGGCTTTGGTGGGGGCAGTCTCTGTGGGGGTGGTGGGAACCGCAGTATTTCAGCTTCTTCTGCTAGATTTGTGTCCTCAGGGTCTTCAGGGGGCTATGGGGGTGGCATGAGCTGCAGCTTCGGTGGAGGGGCTGGTAGTGGCTTTGGGGGTGGCTATGGAGGTGGCTTTGGAGGTGGCCTTGGAGGCGGTTTTGGTGGTGGCGTGGGTGGTGGCTTTGGCGGTGGCGATGGCGGCCTCTTCTCTGGCAACGAGAAAGTCACCATGCAGAACCTCAACGACCGCCTGGCCTCCTACCTGGACAAGGTGCGCGCCCTGGAGGAGGCCAACACGGAGCTGGAGGTGAAGATCCGTGACTGGTACCAGAAGCAGAGCCCGTCCAGTCCGGAGCGCGACTACAGCCACTACTACAAGACCATCGAGGAGCTCCGGGACAAGGTGAGCCCTGGGCGTCCGACAGGGAGCAGGTGGCTGGGCCCTGCACGCATCTCTAGGGCACTGGTCCTGCTGCTCGAGGAAAGCCTTTCCTGCTCAGGTAATGACTGTCGGTGTGTAAGCTTGGCAGACTTGGAGTACAGATGTGGGTGTCGGGTGACTCTGGAGTCAGCACCCATGGGGGCTGATATAGGGGGCAATCAGACACACCAACAGGGCTCCCCAGAAGTGTTCCTTTGTTCTTTTGCAAGAATTGTGAGTGCAGCTTCACCTTCTGAGGATGTCTTTGTGCCAAAAGCATCATTGGCATTTAGAAGACTTGGAACTGTTATGGGCTCTGCCACCCATTCTCTCAAGCTTCTTTCACCTGGACCAGCAGGTCTGGGTACAAAATGCCCTCCTCTGACTGGAAGGTTCTGTAGACCCAAGGCTGCATGCAGACCACCAGCTGTGCCCTGGGGAGGTGGGCGCTCGAGAGGGCTGTTGTCAGAGCCCACTCAATTGCCTGCCCAGGCAATTCCCACAGGGGATTCCAGGCAGCCCTGGTTCCCTGGTCTTTCTTGCCCTGGAGGGTGTGAGTGGGTAGACCAAGTGGTGGGCACACACGGTGAGGCTGGACTCTGGCCCCGGGATCCTACAGACCCCACTGCTGGCAGAGGGGTGATTGACAGTGGAGGACCTGACGCTGGTTCAGGGTGGTGAGAGCAGCAGGGAAGGAAGAAGGATGGGTCCTCTAGACACCACCCCGTCTCCTGCAGATCCTGGCGGCCACCATTGACAACTCTCGGGTCATCCTGGAGATCGACAATGCCAGGCTGGCTGCGGACGACTTCAGACTCAAGTGTGTTCCGCCTCCCTCTCCCCTTCCACATTCCCTCCATCCTTGGGCTTTCCCTGCCTCCCCTACTCAAGCAGCGGGGACCCCTCACCCTCCCTCACCTTGGGCTCCATCTCCCGTCCAGGTATGAGAACGAGCTGGCCCTGCGCCAGAGTGTGGAGGCCGACACCAACGGCCTGCGCCGGGTGCTGGACGAGCTGACCCTGGCCAGAGCCGACCTGGAGATGCAGATCGAGAGCCTGAACGAGGAGCTGGCCTACCTGAAGAAGAACCATGAGGAGGTGGGGCCGGCCAGGGGCTAGGGGTGCTAGGGGAGGCAGAGTGCAGCCACTGACCTTTCTTATAATTGGTCAAAGGGTTCAGTGGTCAGAAACATCCTCCCTACCCCTCTGCTGCCTCACATTCACCAAAACGGGGGCCCCCATGGAGAGGATGGGGCACTGTCCTCTGGTGACCTAGACCCTCCTCTATGATCCATAAGCAGGACAAGTGGCCTCTGTGAACCTCTGTCCTGATTTGCTCATGAGCTCACGCGAGGGTCTGCTACCTCTCTTGGCTTGGCCTAGAGCCCCTCAGAGTGGGCGGGCCCCTGTGGTCAAGCATCTGGTGGGAACAGAAATTAGGGCGGGTCTGGAGGAGAGTGACAGTCACGCTTGGATTGGGGAGGGGGCAGATCGGCCTGTGGGCTCCAGACTCTCACTCTCTGCTCCACCTCTGTCTCTCAATGCCCCCCGCCGGCAGGACATGAAGGAGTTCAGCAGCCAAGTGGCAGGCCAGGTCAACGTGGAGATGGACGCAGCCCCCGGCGTGGACCTGACCCGCGTGCTGGCGGAGATGAGGGAGCAGTACGAGGCCATGGCGGAGAAGAACCGGCGGGATGCTGAGCAATGGTTCTTCAGCAAGGTGGACCTGCCCTCCTACCATCCCCCCAACCCTCCCCCCAAGCCCCTCTCCCAGGAGCCCCAGGGGACTCATTTCTCACGTGTGTGACTTCCAGACGGAGGAGCTGAACAAGGAGGTGGCCTCCAGCACAGAGATGATCCAGACCAGCAAGTCGGAGATCACAGACCTGAGACGCACCATGCAGGGTCTGGAGATCGAGCTGCAGTCCCAACTCAGCATGGTACGGCCCCGCCCACGCTCCACCCAGCCTTTCCCACCCTGCTTAAGCCTGGGGAATTTCCAAGTCTCCTCCAGGGTTCCCGGCACTCCATGGGCCCCTCTCCCCCTGCCCTCAGGGTTTCCTTTTTAGCTGATCTGGTGCCTGTCGACCTGTTGCCCCACCAGAAAGCCGGCCTGGAGAGCTCGCTGGCCGAGACGGAGTGCCGCTACGCCACGCAGCTGCAGCAGATCCAGGGGCTCATCAGCAGCATCGAGGCCCAGCTGAGTGAGCTCCGCAGCGAGATGGAGTGTCAGAACCAGGAGTACAAGATGCTGCTGGACATCAAGACCCGGCTGGAGCAGGAGATCGCCACCTACCGCAGCCTGCTGGAGGGCCAGGACTCCAGGTGGGGCAGGGTGCAGGAGCAGAGGCTGAGGAGGCTGGGGGGGAGTCACCTTAATGGAACAGTAGTGCCAGGGAAAAGAGCGCCGAGTGGGGTGTTTTGGCCCCTGAGCCTCGTTCTTTCGCTGTCCCTTTGGGCAGCTCATGTCACCTCCCTCTGGACCTGTGTGTCTTCTATAAATGATTGCGGTTGGGTTAGTGCTGGTTCCATTCCTTGCATGAGGCACCTGGAGTGTTATTGTAGATCAGAACCTTCTACTTGAGGGCAGGCGTGGGGCAGGTGCGGGTGAGCCCTCAGGCCACCCCAGTCTCTAGAGAAGTCAGGTCGGGGTGGTGGTGGTGAGGGGGCGCTGGGGGGCACTGCTGAGCTGTCCAGGGGCCACCCTTAGGGAGATCCAAGCTTGTGCCCTTTGCTAACATCTGTTTCCCTCTCTCTTGCAGGATGGCTGGCATTGGTGCCCGAGAAGGCAAGAAGGCTTAACTTGTCCCATGTGGGGTGGGAAGCCACTGTCTCCCTAAGAATGGGAGCAAGGAGAAAGGCCCAGCACTCCAGAAGGGGGGCATCACAGCCATCAGTTGACACTTCTCCCCCGGCGGGGTCATCTGCCAGCTCCAGGAGGACAGGGATTGAAGACTCTTGAGAACCTCCCAGGCTGAGCAGCCTTGTCCAGGGCATAGCTGCCCAGGCCCCACCTGCATGCGCGTCTGATAAAATGCCCAGGACCACTCCCTGCTCACGTGCGCCTTAAATGCCCTGATATCATTTCTCGCTCCGGGGGCCCGTCACTTTGATGAGTGATTCAACCCTGGGGCTCCTGGCAGTCTTGAACGATTGCCCAGTGGCCATTGAAGGGGTGCCCTCCAGCTCTCTTGGGGCTCAGCCAAGGTCTTGTCCACTTTGGGAGGGAGGGCGGGCAGGGAGAACCCCCATTCTAAAGCTCGCCCCTTCTTTCTACAGCCTCCCTGGGAGGTGGTGGTGGCAAAATCCGCATCAACGTGGAGGAGTCGATGGATGGGAAGGTGGTTTCTTCCCGTAAGAGAGAGATCTGAGTGCCCGGCGGGGGCGCCTCCCTCAGCCCCCTCGCCCGGCTGGCAGGGGACTGGCCAGAGGGCCGGAACGGCAAACTCCAATCCCTGCCTTCAGAGGGTCCAGCTCAAGGGGGTCCCTCCTCAGCTGCTTGGTGATTTGCATGGTCTCCCTACCTCCTCCAGCTCCCCCCCCACCCCGTCCCCCTTCTCCTAGCAGCCCTCCTATCCCCTTTAGTTTTCTCTCCCTCCCCTGGCCCCAGCTCTCCCTCCTTCTCCCCCTCAGCTCTCCCTACCTCTGGGCAGGGAGGTGCAAGAGGCAGCTGTATTGTGTAATAAGCTCATTTGTGCTGTGTCTGTTGATGCAATAAAGAATCGCTTTTCATTTGCAAATACCTCTTGGCAGTATGTGTAGTTTTTCACTTTGGGGGCCTTTGAGAAGGCCCAGGGTCCGCATGCTGGCATTTCCTCCGACTTCAGCTTCTTTCGGGAACTGTCACAATTCATTCCTTGGGGTGCCTGCGCTTCTGGGACAAACCCAGGCTGCTGGGGTGTCTTGCTCTTCTGGCTCATCCCGTGAGTGGTCATGGTAGCAGGAGATGGGGTGTCCTCAGTGCGGTTTAGTGCACTTGGCACAGAACTTGACACATTGACTCATTATTTGCTGAGTGACTGGCTGTGTGCTCTGTGTCCACTCGCCATTGTTTGCTGGGCACTGCTCTGGGCACGCCCTCCTGCGGGTCTCATTTAACGCTCACAGCTGTGGGTGGTCAGGGGTTATGATTCTCATCTTAGAGATGAGGAAGTCACGGGGATGAGTGACTTGCCTGGCGGTTCATGGCTGGAGGCTAAGCAGCAGGGTGGATGACTGCCCCCCTTTATACTGTTCCACAACCAGGGGGGTTTGTTCCATGACCCCAGGCTAACCCTTCACAGCTCACTGCTAGAACCTTTCCTGCTTCTGGACCTCATCACAGGTGCCCCTGGAGCCTCCCCTCCTTTCCAGCCCAGCACCCCTGACGTCCTGACATCCAGCATGGCTGAACCAGCTTCTATCTCTGCCCACCCTCCCCCCGCACTGGTTCCCCTGTCACCCCCCACCCCAGGCCTTGATCTCCTCCCCACAAAGACATTTAATGTGCCCAGAGGGGAAGATATCAGCCCCAAGAAGCCCTCCCTGGTTTCCCCAAACTTCAGTCCAAAGCAACACCAGCCCCTCCAGCTCCCTGTCCCTCTTGGGCTCATTACAGCAGCAGCCCGGCTGGTCATTGCCTCTGGCCCAGGGCTGGTTCTTCTGGGTTTCAGAGGCCCAGCCAGAGGGCAGGGAAGGAGGAAGTAGAGTACTCAAGGTGCCCCAGCTGGGCTGGCTCAGGCACTGGGGTAGGGATGGGGTGGGGGTAAGGAGAACAGGTTTCTTAGCCCTGATGACAAGGCTGGAAGTGCCTCTGTTCTAGCATAAAATTATTTGTGGGAGGGCCAAGCCCCCTAAGAGCTCCCCATGGACTGCGCTGCATGTTCCTCCTTGCCCGGTAGCCCTGGTTAGAGGTAGTGCCTGTTCTTTCTGGGGGAGATTTAATCTAGAATGTGTCCCCTGAGTACCCACTTTGAGGCCAGATTTCCCCAGGAGGAAGGAAGCCAAATTTAAGTGTGTATAACAGACCGGGCCCTGCGCAGGACGCTCAGCTTTATAAGGGTGGGGCAGCCTTCAGCGGCAGTGTTTGGAAGAGGAAACTGAGGCCAGGGAAGTCCAGTACCTTCATTGAGGTCACCAGCTAGGCCATGGTGAAACTGGAGCCTGTCTCTAATTCCAAACCCTTGACATCATAGGGGTGAAGGAGACTGGTAACTCCTTTCTTCAGAGGGTGTGCTAATCTGAAACCCATTTCTTAACCTCTGTGGGCAGCCTGTTAAGAGTCATACAGTCATTTCGGTTAGAATCATTGTCCTTACATTTGACCTTGGTCTCCAATAGCGCACTTTGAGCTCCAAAGTCTAAAGCACCAGCACCAGGTCCCTGGCATCCTGGGACATCCTGATCCCCTCCTGAGACCGGTGCAGAGAGGCAAGGTGCTCGGCCTGCGTGCCTTCTCTTAGGGCCACACCCCAAGCTGGGGGCAAGGGATGCTTCTGTCCTCCTGCAGCGACTGTCAGAGAGGTCCCTGCTGAGTCCTGGCCCCTGCCTGGCCCCAGATGGGTGCCTGAGCTACAGCAACCCCACCTGAGCCCTTAAGTAGTCTTGGGCAGAGATGGCCCCTCCTGCTACATGCCCTCGGGCTGAGGTCATGCTTGGTTTCCAGCCAATCAGGAGGCAGGCACTGGCTTCTCCCTACAGAGGAGCAGTTTGGGACCAGAGACTAGGGCCTTGGGCAGTCACTGCTTTGGCTGGACTCCCCATGGCAGGCACCAGGCATGCTGGTCACCATTCCCCGAGGACTTTGGCTGGCTCATGTCATTCTTGGGTTTCCGTTTCCATGTCTTTCAACTGAGGAGTCTGGCTTAACCACATAATCTCCAAAGGTCCCATGAGTTGATCTGAAACCTGGGATTGCAGAGGGGGCCCTGACTGCCATGCCCAGGACAGCAGGGCTGCGTTGGCTCCGAGCGCTGCTGAGACAGTGTGCTAAATACTTGTCGAACTTGCTTGTTCTTTGCTTGTTCCTGCCCTAGACACAGCATCGGACACTCACTAGGATCTTGACATACATTGTGGTCACCTGTCCCTCATGGGCAGCTGGCAGCGCAGGGGAAAAAAGGAGCTGGCAGCTTCTTCCATGAGATTTGCAGCTCATGGAACGGGGATGACCTCACTGCATTCATTTCTGTTTGTCCTTCCTTCCCCCCTAGAGCCAGCAGGCGAAGAGCCCCTGAAACATCTTCCTAGTCGTTGACAGGAAATCTCCCTCCTCCACAGGAGGACTGCAGAGGCCCTGGCCCCAGAGGAGGGAAAGCTGTGTGGGGGGAATGAGATAGAAAGCCAGCGACCATGACTTGCGTTTGGTGTGGGCACAGCCTGGCTGTGGGGGCCAAGGAGGGAGGCAGAGCCACGTGCTGACGTAGGATGAGGCCGGGAGAATTCTCGACAGGTCACCCGAGAACCACGACTTCCCTGTTGCAGCAGGAAGTGAGAGCGGCCTTCCGCCTGCCAGGGCTCTTGTGTGTCAGGTGCTTCGCAAACACCCACTCACTCACCTAATGCTTGTTGTATAGTTGTGGCCCCTGAGGCCTGAGAGGTCGAGCAACTTTCCTGAGGTCACGCAGCTAGTGGCTGGCAGAGGAAGGGTTGACACTAAAGTCCATCCGACTTAAAGTCTTCGCTGCCCTTGCTGGGTGTCCGGGAGGCCTGGTGGTATAAAAGGGATTTCAGGAAAGTGGGCTGCAGGATCAGGCATTGGGGCTGGTCTGAAGAAGGTTCCTGACACTTGTGCAGGTGTCTCAGAGTGTAGTGGGGCTGCCCGGGGCCTGGGTCTGCCTTTCAGGAAAGGGCCCTGCCCTGCAGGGGACCCTTCGGAGCTGGCTCAGCTCTACTGGGAACCAGGTCCCTTGTGGTTCAGGGAGGAAAAGAAGGGAGGAGCCTGGTCCAAGATCCAATTAAGGACTCCCAGATTAGGAACTGGGGGACAGGATCTAAGCCCCAGTTCTGCAGATGAACAATCTGGTGACTGTGGACAAATCTTTGAGAAGCAGAGACACCCGAAGACACTGCTGGCAGAAGCTTATTAAGGCCATGTGGAGGGCCTCCCCGGTGGCGCAGCGGTTGAGCGCTGGGTTGCGAAGCTGCCGGCAGCCTCTGCAGCGCCGGTTCCATCCCCGGCTGCTCCCCGGCCACCGGAGGAGGGTCCCACATGGCGCGCAGACCTCTCCTGCCGCCCGCTGCTCCCCTCAGCAGTGTACTTCGGTCCTTCTGCCTGCTCTGCTCCCCGCTCTGGCTCTGGTGAATTCTCTCATCCTCCCGCGCTTCTGACTGTACCCAGTGCTTGTATAAATACATAAGTCTTTAAAAAAAAAAAAAAAGGCCATGTGGAGTCAGAGTCGGGGATTCACGCATTTCTCCTGTTTCCCACTGCCCCAGGTCTTGACTATTGAGGACTCAGGTTCCCCACCTGGGAAATGAGAGGGGTGGATGGGAAGGCTCCTTGCAATGACTTCTGACTCTGACATTCTGTGCTGAATGAGTACCCTGGCGCCTGAGCTCTGGAGTTCACATCAGGAACACCAGCAGAGAGGCTGGCCCACCAGACCATGGTTGCATAGGCCTAGCCTAGCAGGGCCAGCCGCTGGCAGGGCCTTGGGTGATGGGCCCTGGGAACAGAGAAGAAGGCGGACACCCTTGCTGACCCCGGCCTGGAAAGAATTTCCTAGGGAGTGGCTCAGGGTGCAGGCCGGGAGCCTGAGGTTTGAATCTTGGCTCTGACACAATCAAGTTGAGGCCATGCATTGACCCTCTTTGGGCCTCAGTTTCCTCATTTGAATAAAGGGCTTAGGAAAATAGTAGGAGTGTTTCCAGGACCAGAGGACGTCACATGTGCAGAGTGTTCAAGACGTGCTAGCTGGTGTTCAAGCTGGTGTTCAAGACGTGCTAGCTGGTTCAAGACCCCCAGCTGTGGTGTGGAAGGCCAGGCCCTGTGGTGACCATGGGCAGGCGCTCTGGCCTCCCTGCACCTCAGCTGCCTCCCTGCACCTCAGCTGCTGCAGGTATAAAATGGGGCAATGAAACCCTTCTCACACTGTTTGCCGATGGCGATGTGCCAGGCAGGGCCTCATGGTGGGGTGTTCGTGAAGGCATCGAGGTTCCCTTCTCTTCCCTGGAAATGGGGAGAAAACAGTTTTTGCCAGAAAATGAAGACAAGTGAGCAGTGCCTCAGCCCACAGCCTGTTCTGCCCCACGAGGACGGGTTTTGGGGGGGCGGGGAAATGGATCCCCCCGTGGGTCTCTGTCTGGTGTGTGTCCCCCGCCCACAGTCTGTGGGGTTCTCCGTGGGGCAGAGGAAGACCTCCCTGGGTCAAGGCTCCTGTCTTTGCTCAGGAGCAGGGGGCAAGGGAGGGGTCCTGGCCTGGCCAGGGGAGGCACTGGCCGCCACCCCGTGTTTGCACTACCAGGGCTTTGGAGGATCGTATTGTTCCCTTCAGAGGCGTTGGCCGAACCTGCTCATCAGCCCTGGGAGGCTCGTCACTCCAGGCCTGGCAGGTTCCACTAATCACCTTCTTGTCAGCTCTGATCCTCCACTGAGAGAGAGCTCCTGCTTTGGGCTGAATCATGCTTTTTCAGAGCGAGCGAGAGAGCTGAGCCATCAGTTTGGGCCAGGAGGGCCGGGCTGTCCAGGGGTCAGCCTGCAGCCCTGGCCTCGCCATGGTCTCTGAGCACCCTGCAGCAGCACGCCCTGGCTCTCTCCCTGGTGCTGACATGGAGATGAGATGGGCCAGGGAAACAAAGGACGGAAAGCTCTGACTCACACCCTCTGTTCGGCCTTGCTGAGTCAGTGTAGGGGTTTCCAGGTCACCTCAGACCTGTGCTACCCCATTTCGACCCCTGCCCATGTCCTCCCCAGCTCTCCTGGCAGCTTTGGGCCAGAAGGCTGCTCTGAGAGTCTGTTCACAGCAATCCTGGGCCCCATGGGGAATGGGAAGCAGCCCAAGGCCAGGAATCTTCATTCTTGGTCTGGGAAACTTCTTCCTTCCTGGGTTATGGGAGGCCACCTCAAGTCCATTTTCTTCCAGCCCAAGTGGGGATGCCTCCCCAGCAGGATTGCCGAGTGGCCCCTGGGCAGAGACCCTGGCCACATCCTCCCACAGGCCACTTGATCCAACACACAGAAGCTGAGGTGGGTTCATGGGTTTGGGGGGCTAGAAGGACTTGGGGTTCAGCTATGCCCCTAAGGCAGCTGGTGAAATGCAGTCAGCAAACTCTTTTCATCACAGTAAGCGGGGGCCAGGGGATCCAGGCTGCTCAGCCTCGACACTGTCCACATCTTGGGCTGGAGAATTCCTTGCTATGGGAGCTGGGCTGTGCATGGAAGGTTGTCCCACAGCACCCTGGTCTTCAGCCTCTAGATACCAGTAGTATCTCCCAATGTCTCCAGACAGTGTCAAATGTCCCCTGGGGACCAGAAGAGCTGGGGGCTGAGAGCTCTGAATTGATCTGATGTGGCCCAGGTTGGATGGTGGTTATTTAGGGGCCCGGGTGTGAGTAACTGACTGAGAAGAGGTACAAGGGGCTCAATGGAGCTTTCTTCTTTCGATGCCTCAGCGACTCCCGCAGTGTTGGGTGGTCCCTAAGGTCCCTCTTCACTGTGATTTTATCCCACAGCCTTGAAGCCATTCCCCCCTCAGCTTTAACAAGGACCAAGATAAGTTTGTCACCAGCGTCTCCGGGAGCACTGGAGTAGAGGAAGTGCTCAGGATTCAGACACCCAGTCAAGTTCTAGAACTGGAAAGGGGGGAGGCTGAGGCTGCGGGGTCCTCGCATGGCCCGGGCCGCTCTGCAGTGCCCCTGCCCTCATCGCGGGCAGCACCGCGGTGGAACCCGGCAGCACAGCACCCGTTCTGACATGGGGTGGGGCTGACAGCTGTGGGAGTGCTCCCAATGTGGAGAGGTGAAAGAGAATTCAAGTGTCAAAAGGGTAGTCTCCAGCAGAACAGGGCTCCCTCTGAATCATCCCTTTTGTTAGGATTAAAAAAAAGCCACTTCTCCCCCAAGGCACAACCCACCCGGGACAGCAGAGGTAGCGGGCGATGGGAAACTAGGTGCAGCTGGCAGCAATCGGAGGGTGGGGAAGGGAGGAGGGGAGACTGGGAGACGGTCCCACCCCCGTGGAGGGTGTATAAAAGGCCTCCACTTCGGGGAAGAGCCACCAATCTAGGCCCAGGCCAAACCCAGCTCCTGTCCTCACCTGCTCTCCATCTTGCCCTCACCATGAGTTGCCGTCTGCAGAGCTCCTCTGCCAGCTACGGAGGTGGTTTCGGGGGTGGCTCCTGCCAGCTGGGAGGAGGTCGCACTGTCTCCAGCTGTTCCACCCGGTTTGTGTCTGGAGGATCAGCTGGGGGCTACGGGGGCGGCATGAGCTGCGGCTTTGGTGGAGGGTCTGGCTTTGGTGGCGCTGGAGGTTGTGTTGGAGGCGGCTTTGGAGGTGGCTTCGGCGGTGGCTTCGGCGGTGGCTTCGGTGGCGGCTTCGGTGACGATGGTGGCCTCCTCTCTGGCAACGAGAAGATCACCATGCAGAACCTCAACGACCGCCTGGCCTCCTACCTGGACAAGGTGCGCGCCCTGGAGGCGGCCAACACAGAGCTGGAGGTGAAGATCCGGGACTGGTACCAGAAGCAGAGCCCGTCCAGTCCGGAGCACGACTATAGCCACTACTACAAGACCATCGAGGAGCTCCGGGACAAGGTGAGCCCTGGGCGTGGAGGAGGCGAGCTTTGCTGTGTGGGCAGAGCCACGAGGGCCAGGGGCAGAATCCTGGGGCCCAGTGGTGCAGTGTGGGTGGCATGCTCACCCTTCCTTCGTGGGGAAAATTCTAGCCTTGCTACCAAGTTTCTCAACTCCTGATGGGCTTTTTCATGCCCAACTCCCCACATGCCTTTTCTCCCATTATTCATTTTTATTGTTCTTATTACTCGTGTCACAGTTTTTTTCACTGCTTTCCAAACAGTTATGTGATTGATGACTTGATCTCTGTAGTCCTAACCTGCTGAGTTATTTGGAAACCACATTAGTTCTTAAAAGCTACTAAGAATGGCCAAAATCAACAGAGAAAGGGATTACATGTTCCTTCACTGGCCTGGGAAATATATATAGTTTTTTGACAGGGGCCCCACTTAAGCTTATCCTCGGTTGGCTGCAAGCATGTTGAGAGACCAGGCAGAGGCACAGCCAGCGCTAAGCCAAGAATGCTCTGTCAAGGCCCGTCCATCATGCCGTGAAGGCCAGGGGCAGCTTGTTGTCACACCAGCTCGTTGGGACAGAAATGCGCTTGCCTGGGCTATGTCCCAGCTGCGTGGGGGGGATTTGAAATGCTTTGGAATATAAAAGTTTAGACAAAGGAATTCAAGTGGATGGAATACTTGTCAACCCCTCACCCCCCCACTCTGCTCTGCTGGGATGGCAGCTCTGTGCAGTCATGAACTATGTGGAGACTCCCTGTGCCCTTACCAGGAAGCCCTTCATGACAGTGGCCCAGAAAGCTTACAATCTAAGACACGATTAACCAAAGAGCATCCTGGTGGGGTCTTACCCCTGGAAATGTGCTTCCTGCTCCTCTCACGACTGGCTGTAACAGGTTAGAGTGACAGAACAAATGATCCAGCAGCACCTTGTGTTGTTCTGACACCCACCTCGCCATGGAGCTCGCTCAGCTGGGCCTCGATGCCCTCAATTTACAGAAGAGAAAGTGTGGCCCAGACACACTGTGCCACTTGGACAGTGATTCCAGTTCTCCCCTCCAAGTTCACGGACCCTCCAGAAATCACCTTCCGTCTTTTGCAGATCCTGGCAGCCACCATTGACAATAACAGGGTCCTCCTGGAGATCGACAACGCCAGGCTGGCTGCAGATGACTTCAGGCTCAAGTGAGTTTGTTTCCCTCATTCCCTTTCCCCAGCGATCTCTTATTTCAGACAAATGCACATCTGAGTAATGAAACTGGAGCATCCCTGCACCAAGGGCTTGGGGAAGTAGCAGAGTCCAGTGCAAGGACTGGGAGGGTGCCTCACAAGGTGTCTATGTTGCTTTCTTAATTAAAAAAATTTTCTTTAGGTATGAAAATGAGCTGTCCCTGCGCCAGTGCGTGGAGGCCGACATCAACGGCCTGCGCCGGGTGCTGGACGAGCTGACCCTGTCCAAGACTGACCTGGAGATGCAGATCGAGAGCCTGAACGAGGAGCTGGCCTACATGAAGAAGAACCATGAGGAGGTGAGAGGGGAGCATGGATCTGCCATGGTGGAATCATCTCCATGGAGAAAAGGGAGCCCACTACTGCAGCTGAACTTAGCCCCGTCTTCTATGGGAACTGGAAGTTTTCCAGAATATTCTGGTAGCAATCAGAGCCAAGAAGGGGGTGTGGAGGAGCTGCCTCATACATCTCCTTTGCTGTCCCCATAGGAGATGAAGGAGTTCAGCAACCAGATGGTAGGCCAGGTCAACGTGGAGATGGACGCTACCCCTGGCATTGACCTGACCCGCGTGCTGGCGGAGATGAGGGAACAGTACGAGGCCATGGCGGAGAAGAACCGGCGGGATGCTGAGGAATGGTTCCACAAGAAGGTACCCTAACCCTCTTACCCTTTGTAGTCAGGGGGTACCAGGGTCTTTAAGCTGGGTTCCTCCATTACCCTCTTCCTGCTTGAATTTCAGACCGCAGAGCTGAACAAGGAGGTGTCCTCCAGCACAGAGATGATCCAGTCCAGCAAGACAGAGATCACAGAGCTCAGACGCACACTCCAAGGCCTGGAGATTGAGCTGCAGTCCCAGCTTAGCATGGTACACCTGTGGTCCCCTGCCCTGAGGCCTCCATTGCTCAGCATCCCTCTGGCTCGGCTCCCCTGACTTCTCTGTTGCCCCACCAGAAAGCCGGCCTGGAGAGCTCGCTGGCCGAGACGGAGTGCCGCTACGCCCTGCAGCTGCAGCAGATCCAGGGGCTCATCAGCAGCATGGAGGCCCAGCTGAGCGATCTCCGCAGCGAGATGGAGTGTCAGAACCAGCAGTACAAGATGCTGCTGGACATCAAGAGCCGGCTGGAGCAGGAGATCGCCACCTACCGCAGCCTGCTGGAGGCCCAGGACTCCAAGTAGGTCCTCTCCGGTCTCGCTCTTGGGAAAAGCGGCTGTGGGTCCTGGGATGCCAGAGCAGGAAGGGCCTTCGGAGGTTGATCGCGGGGCCTCCAGCGGGGGAGGCCGGGCCTCTTCTGTCCTTTGAATCAGATGGTAGAGCATTTCCTCAGCAGGCTGCAGGGTCAACCCCTTTAACCTTTCTAATTCAGGCTCTGGATTAGACCGGCAGGCATAGGGGCAGTGGAGAGACCAGCTTCTAATGGGGCATTATAGCTTGGATTCAGACAAGTCAAGCCATTAAAATGGTGATCAAATCATCTTCAGACCATTGTGGGGACCAGGTCGTCCTTGTGAGCTTAGGGAGGCCTGGGGTAGGGGTGATGCTGAGTGAACCCGGGGGGAGGACAAAACTTCTGGCAGATGAATCTGAACCTTGGGGTAGCTACATCTCCTCTGAGGCCTTATAAACACACAGACACACAGACAGACAGGCATGGCAAGTACTTGCTGCTGCTGCCACCCCTGAAACTTGTTGCACAGTTAAAAAAAATACCCAACTCAGGGACCCTGAATAATTATTAGGGGGGCTCCTCCCAAGGGCAGGTAGACACCTTCTGCTCACGGCTGCCTCTCTTCCCCTAGGATGACAGGCTTCACCTCTGCCACCGGAGGTAAGTAAACAACGCCCCCCTGGGATTGGGGGGTGGTGTGGGTGTGGGCAGGCAGTGCTGGGCCCCTGAGTGTAGGGAGGGAGGGAGCTGGAGTGGAAGTGGTCATTTTCCTTGCAAAACAGATAGCCCCGCCGAGCATTGTCAGGCTGTCTTGGACAGAGCCACCTTTGAGGACACTGACATGGGACTGCCATCACCTAACCCTCCCCCTCACCAATGAGGGGGCTCAGGGCCCACTTGCAGGAGGGGGCGCTTGGCTAGACCTGAGGGTCTTCTCCAGCCTTAGCCTCTTTTGCCTCTTCATTTTCCAGGAAACGCTGGTGGAACCACCCGTCGCCCCTCCGAAACCCTCCGTAGGACTTAAGTCTGCCTGGCGTGCCTCCCTCTCTCTGCGGCCCCCAGAGGAGACAGCAGACGTTCCCTGCAGGAGGGAGGCGGGTCTGTGGGCCTCAGCAGCAGGGTCCCCGCCATCCTCCTGAGGGAGGGCCCTCACGCTCTCCTCTCGGGTCTGCTCCTCTTCTCTCTGACCTGGCTACTCTGATCTCTCAGCTTCTCTACCAAAAAAAAAAAAAGATAATTCAATAAAGTTTCCTGCTGTTTTGCAAACATATTCTTGATTCTGGCCTGGTTTTTGAGGGTGGCACCTATCAGCACAGGAGGGGTGCAGTGGGCCGAGCAGCTCACTCCCACAAGGCACCTCCAGCTGGGAAGCCACCAGGTTCATGGGCTGCTTACCTGCGCACAGGTGGCTCATGTGATAGTGTCCTGCAAACAAGGACATGTGGGGCAAACCCGGGACAAGCGGGGTCGGGAGCCAGGGCAGCCCCCTCCGAGTTCAGGTCATGAGGCAGCAATGGGGTTGGAGGGGAGAGGCTGGAGAGGCAGAAGGCTCTGGGGCAGGCTGCAGGGGGTGGGGCAGGGCTGATCTGGGGAGAAGGAAGTCCTGGACAGTTACTCCCGCTCCAACCTGCCACCTCCCTGTTTCCTTCCCAACTTCCTTTCAAAATGCTGCATGTCCAGAGTCACAGCTCCCCACCCCGACCCCACTGACCCCAGCCCTGTCTAGCTCCATGGCCCTGCCTCCCCAAACCAATCAGCAAGCCAGCACATGGCTCTGGGTGACCTCAGCCCATGCTGCCCTTCCTCCCTGCTCCCCCTCTGTGCCCTGCGCCCCCTCACCCCCCATGTCCCAGCTCAGACTTGCAGCCGCCCTTGCTGGCTCGCTGCAGACGCGTCTGGACCTAGTGTAGCATCTTCTCTTCTCTCTTCCTCCTCCCCCGGGCTACCTGGGACATGTCCATGGCCACAGTGACCAACATGAAGACTCCCAAGCCCCACCCTCCAGCAAGGCCCCCTTCCTCCCCCAACAGAGTGGGGTGTCTGCTGCTCCGGCTTATACTGGGAGCTCTGAGGGGGCGCGGCCATGTCTTTCCACCTGGGGAGCAGCCTATGCTCCCTGGGCCTCAGCCAAAGCTTGTTGAAGGGAGAGGTGAGTGGCTGAACTGGGAATGCCTGTCAGATGCCCTCTGACTTTGTCACCGGGTTTGCCACAGGGATGGCAGCTCCACTTCGCCTTCCTCTTCCTTCTTCCTCTGCTCCCACCCAGCGCCCGTGTAGTTTATCCCTCTCACCACTGCCTTTCTCTTCTTCCTCCACCCCAGCCTGTTTGTGGGTTCCAGGTGGTTGACTTGGTCCCATAGGGGCCCCCAGACATGGCCCACCCAGCTGGATAAGCCAAAAGAAAGATGTCTGCTCCCCTCTCTTCCTGGACCCCACCCCACCCAGCAGGGCTGTCACCCCACAGATGAGCTAGGCGCTCAGGAATGGCACAGGCCCTCCCTGCCCCAGCCCTTTGACTTTCTTGGCGACTCTTTCATCAGCAGCTGCTCCCCAAGAGCCGGCTGTGTACCAGGCACGGTGCTGGGCCTTAGAGAGAAGACAAACAAAAGGCAGCTCTGCCTTCAAGGAGTTCACAGACAGACAGGGCGGAGGGAGGCCCACAATAAGTGACCATGCTCTTCAAAGCTCAACTCAGGGCTCGCTTTGGGCCACAGATGTATCCCCCGCCCCCGCCACTCCCAGCGCCCTGAGCTGGCCTCACGCCGCCTGTATGGACGATTGTCACGTTGATGATTGGAGAGCAGGGAGCAAAGGGACGGGCTCCTGAGCCATGTGGCCCTGGTGTGTGTCCACCTCTGCCACCCACTCCCTCTGTCCCCCTGGCCAGGTGACTTAAGCTTCAGGGCTCACATTCTTCACCTACTAATTACTACCTCCCGGGAGGTTGTTAAAGTCAAGCGCTTAGAACAGTCTCTGGCACATAGTAATTGCTCAATTAGTGAAGGTTTTCCCGCTCTCTTTTCTAACCTGCGAGTTCCTTCAGGGTGAGTAGGGATGGTTTTGTAGTCGTCTTCACCCCTAGAATGCTACAGGAGCTCAGTAAGTGCGCTGAATGGAGGGGGAGGGAGGGGTGAGCACCAGCGTGGGCCCTGGGAGAGGCGGTGAGCACAGAGTGCTGAGGTCCCAAAGAAAGGGCTTACCGGGACTCTGGGAGCGGCCTGGTCGGGGCTGGTCCTTAAGCTGAGAGACTCTTGGCTGATTGAATGTACCTGGGGTCCACATCCCTGAGGCTAAGGCCAAGGCTATCAGGGGCAGTGTCTTGCTGAGCCGCTCTTGGGGAATGGGCGGGGCTGAGGCTAGTCTTCCAAGGGGGCCAGGCAAGGAGCTGTACTCTGGGCCTGCTGGGGCTCATCCTGGACCCTTTTCCTGACCCAGGGAGCACACTGAGAAGCTGGGCTGCACCTGAGGACATCTATGGCTCTCTCGGGATCCCAGGAAGCTGGGAGGGAAGCCAGGACTGGATATTACTAGCAAGGCTGATCCAGGAGCCGTCCTGAGCCGGAGGCCCGGCAGGCCTGTCTGAGGGGTGGGGAGGCAGGGGGTGGGCCTTTCCCTCCAGCACTGAATTTGATCCCCTCCATCACCTGCATGGGTGGCCCCTGGAGGGAGAAGCTTTATCAGGCCTGCTCAGTGGCTACGGTGACTCTGGCTGGGCGGGGTGGTGTCCACCCCAGGGCTGGCCTATCCAGTTGGCGTCTGACTAACCTCCCTGCCAGTAGCAGTTTGCGAGTGAGCACGTTAACGCAGAGACACTGCCACAGAGGGTGATGAGGTGAGCACACAGGTGTACAGGTGTGATGTCAGGGTTCACTGAGCGGGTCCTTGGGTTCTCTCTGAGAAAACTTTGACAGTTTCCTACTCAGTGGAACAAGGCAAGTTTACTAAGAAAAAGCCATTTGTAAAATGAAGAATGATGTAAAAGGTATGTAAAAAATTAAAAAATAAAAAATAAAAAAGAACTCATAAAAAAATAAAAAGACATTTGCGTACACACAAACTGGCAGAAGGACAGGTTTGTCAGGAAAAAGAGGAGAAAAGAGGCTCCTGCATAGACACAGGTGGGCGGGGGTTGTTCTTACACAGTATTCTTTGGGGGGTTCATTCCTCCGGGGACATTTATCTATTGTTGGATCAATCACTTCTAGGATGTGATTGGGTAAATGTGTAAGGGCCTAAGGATTTTCCCTTTCAAAAGCTGGTTTTGACTATGTGAATCATTTCTTTCCCCATCTCTAGTTTCTGGGCCCATGAGCCTCCTTCCCAAATTTTCGACTCTCAGCCTTTGTCAGAGGCCACCCCAAGTGGAAGCAGGGCCATGCCAGGCACTTGCTCTACACAGAGCTCCTCCTCAGCCTTTATTTCATGTCACCTTTACAGTCCCAGGAGTTGGCCCCAGTGTGCCCATTTTTCGCATCAGAAGATTGGGGTCCATGCTGGCTAAGCCGTCTGCCTCACGTGAGAGCTGGGGTTCACATTCCAATATGCTTTCCAACCGTGGCTCACCCTTTTCCAGAGCCGAGTGCTCAGCTCTGGAATTTGGGGCAGAAACAAAGCTCTCCCCTAAGCCCCAGCACTCAGGTGACAGAGACATCAATCGTGGAATGTTCCAGGGGCCTCCTAGTGCTGGGAGCAAGTCAGGCCAGTACAAAGGTAACTAAACTCCCTGTGACTCTGCTGCAGTCCCCCCACCCCCCAGTAGAGGCGCCTCCCTCTTCCCAAGGCTCCGCGACGGAAGGGCCAGGCCACTCCATCTTCCCCAGGGCCCTGTGTGTCCTGCCTGGGCCCTGCAGGGGGCAGGCTCACTCCAGAAAGCAGGCAATGCCTCTTGGGCCACCTGCTCAGATGCAGGGTGGAGGGACAGGGTCACAGATCTGTTCCTACCCACCCCTGGTCCTGGACATGACCCCGTCCAGTGTCCAGACTTACATGGCAGCTGGGCGCCACAGCAAGTGTGGCGTGCTGAGGGCAGAGTTTCAGCCTGAGCCCCCTTGGGTGCCTGTTACCCCTCTCTTGGGGGTCCACAGATGACCTGCTGTCTGAGATGAAGGTGCCCAGGGAGTGGGAATTTCACTCTCCCTCCCAAGAGAAACCTGGGGACCAAGCGACGCCACAGGAATGCGTTGGTCAGGGCTGTGCTTCACGCACCGCTGCCTCCTGTCCACTGCTGGCCCTGCCTCCCTCCCTGCCTGCGCCCACGCACCTGGGGGCTGCGGGGGCTGCTCCCTGATGGGTGGGGTCCTGGGTTTTTGGTGGCTGGAATGGAGCAGGGTCTGTTGTTGCCCTCCTTTGAGAGCTCTCTGGGAGGGGAGCAAGGGGTGTCTCTGAAAGAGCTGGGCACAGGCCAGCCTCGCCAGCCTCCTGCAGAATTTGGGAGGGGTAAGTTGGGTGGGTGGTGCTGCTGAGACCTGCATAGCACCTTTTGGGGGTGGGGACTTGGGGGAGAGCAGGTACTTACTCTTCTGGGCCATTTTTATGAACAGTCGTAACTCTGTGGCTTCTTTCATCCAAGGATCTCAGACCAATTTGAAAGTGGAGTCCACAGAATAAAGCCTGGTTAATTACAGACTGGAGCTCACAGTCAGTGGCAGACCTGCTGTCTTTGGAAGGAAGATGGTGGGACCCACATAAATGCAGATGATTGAGTCCAATCAAATGGGGTGTTGGGTTGGGAATTGGCTTTGTGGTTCACTTAAGTGGTATCTGAATCAAGCAGGGGACGCGGGAGACCAAGGCATGGCTTCTGTCTCTCAGTGGGTCTGGCTGTGCGTCTCCCACAAACCACAGGTTTGCTAAGCACCTTAGGGAGAGCTGGAATTCTCCAGGACCATAAAAGCTTGGTGGGGGGGGTGGGGTGGGTGGTAGAAGTAGGGACTGATGGATGAAGCAGGCGATTGGAGTCTTCCAGAAGGGAGCTGTCAGCCAGTGCAGCTGTGCAGGAAGAGCTGGCTCCGAGGCTCGGAGGGAGGCTACCATGCAGAAGGCTGAGCTTGGTGTGAGAGACCCTGAGAGGTATGGCTTGAAATTGGGGTCCTGGTGGTTCTCTGGGCCTCACTGGTGGCAAGAGCAGCTTGGCGCAGACTCTTGAGGCTGCTCAGGGCCCACTTGTCGCTTGCCCCAGGCCTCCAAGCAGGGCCTCCTGCCCTGTAGGGGGTGGCCAGGGAGCACAGAAAGGCCTCCTGTCACTCAGTGTGGCTCAGGGCCCCTGACCCTGGTAGGGCTGGTTACTGCAGTGGGGCGAATGGAGGTTTGGGGCATAGGCTGGGGGTAGGAAGTACAGCAGAGAAGGGCTTGTCAAATCTTGCCTAGAAGGGCTGAGTCACCCTGCTGAAGGGAGGAATGTCTCCGAGGAGGCCACAGCCACAGAGATCAACCCAGCTGGTTCTTCCGAGTGTTGCTTGCTGTGCCGGTCCCAAACCACCGAGGATAGGGTACAAAGGGCAGGAGCGTGTGCTTTGCGGGTCGTGGTGACAGATCCCTGCGGGAGGTGGGAAGGAACAGCCTTGTCTTGTCTGGCCTTCAACCAGTGCCACCTCCTTCCACAAGAACCAGACAAAATGCAGGACACCCAGTTAAACTGAAATTGCAGTTTAGACAACAAGTAATTCTTTAGTCTGCAGACATCCCAAATATTTTGATTTGCTAAGTCTGGTGCCCCCTTCCCAAGGAGGCCTGGGAACACCCCAGAGTTTGAACCATCAATGCTGGACAAGCGAGACCTTTCTTGGATTCTTTGGAAAAATTAAATCGGTGGCTAGAAATGAAGACATTTGTCTTCATTGAAAAATTTGTTTCTTCCCATCATGCTCTCTTGCACCTGTGTGCCTGTGAGGGCACGTCTGTGCTGGAAGCCGATAGAACCTGGCAGAGGATTTGGCAAGTGCTTCTGATGGGATTATTTGACACAGAATGTATAGTAATCATGGTTTTCTGGGAGGGGCCAGGCATCCCGGGTGCTTTGTACCTTGAGCAAAACCTTTGTTATGAGGATAAAGCAGATGTGTGGTCGGTGAGGGTCTCACCGTGTCCTGACGGTGTGTCTGAGAGCCTCTCCTGGAGGAGATTCTGCGGGGCCTGTGTGAATGGACTCAGGAGGAGCGGGCAGCAGGACAGAGCTAGGAGAATGAAGTCCAAATTGCTTCCCCTTGCTGCCCATTTGTAGGTGGCCTGGCTGCCCAGGTCTTTCTGCTTCTTCCCATTCCTTGGGGGCACCTAGGTGGGGGTGGTGGCCAGCACCTTCTGACCACAGGGCACATCTCCTGGAGGAACCACTGGCAGGGGCTGGGGCATTTTGTACTACCCAGAGCTGGGCAGGGAACACTGGAGCTTGATGTCTTGGGTCTTTGCCCATCATGGAAGAACTTTGATTTGCAGAGGGACATTCACTCAAGGGTGGAGACTTCTTTTTCCCAAAGAAGGAACCACAGACTTAGAGGTTGACGTTCAACTCAGTGGCCTTGTCAGATGGACTTGGGAAAAGTCAGGACGTTTTCTTCTTCCCCTTCCCCCCAAGCTGGGGCCGTGGTAGGCAGAGAGCACCCTGTCAGTCCTGTACCCTAAAATCAACCCCTGTGTCTTCAGGTGGGTGAGGGCCTTGTGGAAGCTTCTAGAATAAGGGTCAGCGGCCTGCCAGAGTCCTGGCCAAGGGGGTCCTGCAGTCCCAGCCCCTGCCTCTGAGCTGCTGCCCTGCTTGCACTGCTGGGCTAAGCCTCCAAATCAACATCGCATGAAACCAGGGCGTGAGGCCTGTGCCAGGAAACAGCACTGGACTGGAAATGAGTTCCTGTTTGTCAAGTGCACTTTAATGTTGCTCTCAAGATTTGGGTCCTGGCATTATGGACTCCGCCCACCTCTGGGGAAGACCAGGGCTGAAGTACTGGAATGAAGGTCTGGCTCAGTCCAGGTCTGGGGCCTTCGGCCCTCCTGCCCAGCCTAATAATCTCTAAACTCCTCCTTCTGTGAAGCCATGTCTCTGACTCAATTGACCAGGACCTACTGGGATGCCCGCCCCATATCCTCAGACACGGACATGGAGCTCCCAGTGGGTCCTTTGGGAGACCCGCTGGAAGAGGGTCATTCTGCCCCTGTGAAGGAAGCCAGGAGGGGCCAGAGCACCTTGCGGCGCAGGTGTGGCCCAGAGGGAAGCCCCGGGGCCCTTGGGGGTTTGCAAAGAAAGGAGACCCAGCCGCATCTTGGACACAGCCCTCTGCCACTCCTTATTACTTGTGGGTCAGGTGGAGTAGGCAGCAGGACTGAGCCAGGAGGCAGCTGTGGGGGGCGGTGGACGAGTCAGACATGTCCCAGTGACTCTGGTCAAACCCGTGGACAAAACTTGGGCCTCAAATTCTATGGTGTGGGAGATGGAGGCACCTCCAGCTCCCCAGGTGTGGACCCTTCCTCTTCAGATGGGGGCACTGAGGCTAAGAGGGGGTGCGGCCTACGTGGGGAATTTGGGACAGAGCTGGGCCTGGAGTCGGGGGTCCTGATCCTTAGTCCAGTGTATTTCTGATTAAGGTTAGAAAGAGTAGTTTCTGAGTAGAACCCTATTTTGAAACAGAGCCCGATAAATGCACATCCCTGGTTTACTCCACACCTAGGAGGTGGTTTTTCCCCTGGGCTGGGGGGCCAGTGCGGGTGGGGGTGGCCCGGGAGAAGAGCTTCTCTGGAGCCCCAGGCTCTCTTCTTTGCTGCAGGTGGTGCGCTGGGCTCTTGGCCTCACTGTGTCCTGTGACGTCCAGCTCCGGGATGGAAGAGAACGGAGACCTCCCTCCATGAGGTGCCGGCGCCCTTCCCTTCCAGGGGGCCTGCGACCTGCAATGCGTACAAAGGCCGCGGCATAGACCAGCTCTCCTACCCCCCAGGGACACTGGCAATGCCCAGGGTCACTTTTAGTTGTTGCCTTGGTGGGGTGGGGTTGCTACAGGCATGGGGGGTAGAGGCAGGAAATGCTGCTGACATTTACAAAGCACAGGAGGCCACACAACAGAGAATTACTAGTCTACGGTGTCAACAGTGCGGAGGCCGTGATGGCCCATCCCCGGCCCTGCGGAGAGCAGGAGCAGTGGGGCAGCTGTGAGGAGCCGCTGCTGGGGCAAGCTGACCCCTGGAAGCCTGATGTCCCTGCTCCCACTCCCAGGGGGACATTGGCTAGGCCCCCGGGAGCCCACCTCAGGCATCCTGTGGAGGTGTCCACTGCACTGGGTGAGGTGTGCGTACCCAGCCAACCTCCTGAGTAATTTCAGAGAGAAGCTTATAAAGTGTTTTAAGAGTTGGTAAATTGCAACTTCAGAAGCACATAAACGCTTCCATAAACGCCAGTCTTGCAAAGCAGCCTGTGTGGGAGAGGCGAGAGCAGGTTGCCCAAGCCTTGGGAAAGCAGCGTGCCTTGTGAGGCGGGAGGGCCATGTTCAGCTTTGTCCTTAATTTTCAGGGTCTCCTCTTAACACCTTGCTTAACTCTCTGGCGGTGCTGCCTTTGTTCTTACTTCCTCCTTGTCCAAAGAGTCTGCATCGATCATCTCTGGATCCTGTCCAGGGGCTGGGGGTTCAGATCAGGCTGGTACGGTCAGGATTCTCCCCTATGAGGGAATCTATGAGGTTCAGAGAACTGGGGGCACACATAGAAAACTGTCCTCCCAAGTGCCCCTTTTGAGGGCTCACACCCGCCATCCTTTGCCAGCCACAGACACAACCATCAGCAAAGGCTGGCCTCTGAGCCGAGCCAACATTTCTGCAGCATGGATGGTTTTCAAGTTATCGGCCTTTCTCACGTCTGTGCAAGGCAGCAGGGCAGGGTCTCCTATCCCAGCGAGGACACCGAGGGTGCCCGAGAGGAGGTGACCAGCCACTGTCGCAGGCAATCAGCAGCGCCAGGACTTGAAGTCAGGTGTCCTGTCCCTAAATGCCAGGTCCCTGCACTTGGCCTTGGTTGTGGGGGGAAGCTGTGGGACAAAGGCGGGGTTTGGGGTCTGAGAGCTCTGGTTTCAGATCCGAGTTCTGTTCACCGTGAGTGAGATCTTTAGCTATTTTGAGCCCCTGTGTCCACGTCGGTGGCGACAACATAGGCCCCTTCCCGGCGCGCGTAGGTGGAAGCGAGGTCACTGTGAGCCTGACGCCTAACAGCTGCACCCAGAGTCGAGGTCCTTTGCTCCCTTTTCACCACCCAGTGGCCCAGTGGAGCAGCACTGAGGGCTGGGGACACGGGGGGCCGTGACAAGTGGGCCGACCGCGCTGCTCAGGGAAGGCAGGCAGAGAGGGCGGGGACCAAGGTCACTCCTGAGGCTACTCCCGATTTACGGGATCTGGTGCCAAGATTTTGAAGAGGCAATAAAATCCATCTTTTGCTAGAAAGTGACAACAGCTAAGAGTCCTGACTTAGCAAACCAAATTCCAGCTTTTTTTTTTTTTTTTACAAGGTAGGGAGTTCTGAATGGTTAGCAAAAATCCCATTATGATGAGATTAGCTTTCCGGAATAGGAACAGGCTTTCCCAAGGAAACATGACAACACCCCACTGAGAGTGTATATAAACAGCCCAGAGAGACCTCGAGTCCAGAACCAGCTCCTGCTAAGCTACGACCTTCCTCTGCTAGCATCATGGCCACCCAGCTCTGCTCCCCGATGTTCTCCTCTGGGTCTGTCAAAGGCTTCTGTGGCACAGCAGGCCGCATGTCCCGGATGTCCTCAGTCCGCTCCATGGGCTCCTGCAGGGTCCCCAGCATTGCTGGTGATGTGGGGACATCCTCCTCCATCAGGATGGGCTTCTCCAGCTATGGGAGCTGCATGCCTGGCTCCTACCTGTCCTCCGGGTGCCACTCCTCTGGCTTCCTTGGAAACGGGGCCTGGTTCGGGGAGGGCTCCTTCAACGGCGGCGAGAAGGAGACCATGCAGTTCCTGAACGACCGCCTGGCCAACTACCTGGAGAAGGTGCGCCAGCTGGAGCGGGACAACGCGGAGCTGGAGGGCCGCATCCGGGAGTGGTATGAGTCGCAGAGCCCATACATCTGCCCGGACTACCAGTCCTACTTCAAGACCATCGAGGAGCTCCAGCAGAAGGTAACAGGTCCCGGGCCCTCTCCAGCCTGGTCACCAACCCCCAGGAGGGACGTCCCTCCCAAGGGACTGCAGGGGAGTGCAGCTTTTAGGGGACTCTAGCAAGTTCTGCTCTCTAGGGTCTTGGTTTTCTGGGGGACCCAGATCTCCCTGCTTGTCTCTCCCTTACTGGTAACGCGGTGCCAGAGATTCCTCCCCAGCCCCTGCCATCTCAGCTGTAGGGAGGTCAGTGACATGTGCCATACCCTGCTGGACACAGGCCTTGCCTGCTGCTTTCCCATCCTTTGGCCTTTTTATTGCAGGGATGGGTATTATCAAACCCTCTAACAGAGGCAGGGGTTAAATTTAGAGAGAGGTTCAGTAACTTGCCCAAGATCACAAGTTTGGGATGTAGAACCTGAATGCAGGTTTTCCTGGCTCCTTCTATTCACCCTGGTGCATCCCACTGTGACATTCTGGGAGCTACAGACACCAGGACTGAGGAGCCACTGACATCCTGGGGCCAACATGCCCTTTAGACCTGGGCTCAGGGCTCAGGGCTCAAGACTGAGAGCTCAGGGGTCAGGACTCAGGGCTCAGGACTGAGGGTTCAGGGCTCAGGGCACAGGGATCAGGGCTTAGGACACAGGGATCAGGTCACAGGGCTCAAGACTCAGGACTGAGGGTTCAGGGCTCAGGGCTCAGGACACAGGGATCAGGGATCAGTACTAGAAATGTTGAAGGTGTGGCTGGTCCTTAGAGGCTTGGACTCTGTCAGCTGGGCTGCCCCCTCCCACATTGCTGAGTCCTCCTCAGCTCATGGGACACCCCTTGTGCCCTAGATCCTATTGACGAAGGCTGAGAACTCCAGGCTGGTTCTGCAAATTGACAACGCCAAGCTGGCTGCAGATGATTTCCGGACCAAGTGAGTGGGCCTGCTCAGGAAGGTTTCTGTGCTGCTCCCCTGCCTCTGTCCCCTGCTCTGGGAGCTGGTGAGGTGGGAGTAAGGCCAGATGCAGCTGTAGGGGGGAAATATGGCACAGGCCTCCTGTGTCAAGGGAAAAGACCACTGTGCTGCTGATCCCAAGTTAGTCACAGTAGCGGATCGGAGGCAGGGGCCGGCGCGGGGCTTCCTTGTGGCAGACCAGGCACTATTCTGTGCGCACAGGTATGAGACGGAGCTCTCCATGCGGCAGCTGGTGGAGGCCGACATCAACGGCCTGCGTAGGCTCCTGGACGAGCTGACCCTGTGCAAGGCTGACCTGGAGATGCAGGTGGAGTCCCTGAAGGAGGAGCTGATGTGTCTCAAGAAGAACCACGAAGAGGTGAGGCTGGTGCCATGTGCCCTCCCAGTGTCTCCTGTCCAGCTGGGAGCCACTGCTGACCCTTGGGCCCAACAAAGGTGCCACCCAGTAGCCCCACTGGCGGTTATGGACAGCTGACCGTGTGCCTGGAGCTATGTAAAGCACTTTGCATCTCATTCTCAGCTCATTTCAACCTCCTGATGCTCAAATACAAGCTTCATTTTACACATGAGAGGATGGGGCACAGAAAGGTTAAGTCATTTGCCTAAGGTCACACAGCTTACACACTCCTGCCCACGACACTGAACCTGCATCTGCACTCAATTCTATTTGGTGTTTGCATTGTCTTATGTTCCTCTCTGGAATCCCCAGTAGAGGTGGGTTGAGATCCATAAGGAGATGGACTCAGAGAAGTTAAGTATCCCTTTCAATGTCACATAGCAACCGAGGGAGGCGGATTTGTCCCCAGGTCAGGAGGACCCCAGTCCAGTGTCTTTCTCACAGCCTGCTGCCGTCTTCCTTCTCCCTGCAGGAAGTCAACACGCTCCGCGGCCAGCTTGGGGACCGACTGAATGTGGAGGTGGATGCCGCCCCCACCGTGGATCTCAACAAGATATTGGATGACATGAGATGCCAGTATGAGGCCCTGGTGGAGAATAACCGTAGAGACGTGGAGTCTTGGTTCAACACCCAGGTGGGGCTGGGGCAGCCGGGACCACGAGCTCTGGGGGGATGATGCCCTCCAGGGTTGTTTCACGAGGTCTGACTGCTGGGGTGTTTGCCTTCCAGACTGAGGAGCTGAACCAGCAGGTGGTGTCGAGCTCCGAGCAGCTGCAGTGCTGCCAGACGGAGATCATCGAGCTGAGGCGCACAGTCAACGCCCTGGAGATCGAGCTGCAGGCCCAGCAGAGCACTGTGAGTGTCCCGTCCGGGCGGCCAAACGCAGCTTGCAGCAGCCCCCGTCCCCAGTCTCAGTGTGCAAGCGTGTGATCGCAGTGTCCGCAGATCCCGGGGGGTGGGTCTCTGGGTTGAAGACCCTCCTGATGAAGGAGGCAACTCTTCTTTCCTGTTGCAGCGGAATTCCTTGGAATCCACGCTGGCGGAGACAGAGGGTCGCTACAGCTCCCAGCTGAACCAGATGCAGTGCATGATCGGCAACGTGGAGTCTCAGCTGGCCGAGATCCGCTGTGACCTGGAGCGGCAGAACCAGGAGTACCAGGTGCTGCTGGACGTCAAGGCCCGGCTGGAGTCGGAGATCGCCACCTACCGCCGCCTGCTGGAGGGAGAAGACTGCAAGTGAGTGACCCTTGGGTCCAGGAGAGCCAGGCTGGGGGAAGGACCCGCCTAGATGCAACAAGGGCTCAGTCCCTGCAGGGGACAGGGGACGTACAGACGACAGGGGATCAAAGCACTGTCCCCTCTTTTAGTCCTAGGCTTTGGCCACTCATAGCGGGACAAATGGGCCCCAACACACAGTGCTGCGCCAGCCATCATGTTTGGCCTGGGAGTTTCTAGTCTTGGGATCCCACACTCTGGGATCTCAGCGGCACTGTCTGAGGGTCCTCATTGTCATTGTCATCATTGTCATCATTCTGTTTAACCTGAATCTCAGTCCAATGCCCCATGCTGAATGCATCCTGATTTAATTTCATTTTCTCAGGCTGCCAGCCCATCCATGTGCCACGGAATGCAAGCCTGCCATTCGAGTCCCTTACGTCTCCTCTGGGCCCTGTGCCCCGACTGTGCCCTGTGCCCCAACTTCCCAGATCAGCACCCAGATCCGCACCATCACCGAGGAGATCAGAGATGGGAAGGTCATTTCCTCCCGGGAGCATGTGCAGGCCCGCCCGCTGTAACCACCCCTTGCCCACCCAGACAGGCTGCAGGAAGGACACCCTGTGGCTTCTGGCTCTGAACAACCCCCCCCCCCGCCTTCCCCAGGGGCTCCCCGCTCAGCAGGTTTTCTGCCAAAATACCTCTTAGACTGTGTTCCTCCACTTAATTGCTTTTACGATGTGCAAAACTAGGTTTTCCTGGAAATTTACCCAATAAAGTGTGTTCTCTTGGCATAGCAAACTCGGCTCTCTCTATTCTCATGTGGGTAGTTAGTGGGGGATGTTGAGGGGGTCATGGATTGCGGCAAAGTTACGGGTTTAATTTAAGGTCCTTCTTTGTTCTTGCTGATATGGGGTTCTTGGTAATTATTTTGTTCTATTAAAAAGAATGCTAAGACGAAATAGAAACAGACCAGAACAATTCATAGGATACGTCATAGCTTGAAAAATATTACTTGTATAGTTTCTAAAATTATCTACAAAAGCTTATCAAGAAGATAACACATTCAGCTCTGGCTTATGCGTCCTGCCTTCCTTTGGGCAGTGACTTTTGTCCCAGAAAATACTTGGTTCTCTGCCAAAGGGACTGGTTATGATGTGCCCACCTGCTCAGAAATGCCTATTCTCTTGCCATTTCTGAGCCTTGGTTTGCTCACTGTAAGAGCCAGACTGACTTTGGAAGTTTCTTTCCTTATCCACTTTGTATTTTTCTTTCTTTCTCTGCTTGTATTTCCTTCCTCTCAAAAACCTTTCTTTGCTCCCTTCAATTTGCCAATGGAAAAGCATTTATCCACCCACCCACCCATCCACTCACCTGATCATCCATCCACCCATCCACTCACCCACCCACCCATTATGAGACATCTAGAATCCCAGCACTGTGCTTAACACTATACAGGTTTCAAAAGTAATTCAAGGCAATTTTGCCCCCCTCCCCATCCCAGAGCTTAGTTTCCCTGGCAAGATAAGGTTGAAACATAAGACAATCCAAGGACATCGGTAAATGGAAGACCAGCGGATCAACCACCAGTCACTGCCATGGGCAGTGGGAGTTGGGAGGGCCTAGGAGGGCAGGAGGAGGGAGCAGTCTTCAGGGAGAAGGCCAGGCTGGGACTAGAACCCAGCTTCAGTAGTGTGGGGCTCAGGTCTTGAGCCGGACAGTCTGGGGGTCTGTCTCCCAGGGAAGGCTGAGTGGACACTGGGTGACATTCAGCACCCTGGAAGTCAGCATCCTACTGGCCACGGCTGTGCTGCAGGGTGTGTAGGAGCTATGAGGAGAGGGTGCACCTCAAACGGTTGGGCAAATGCTAGGTCTGTCGGCTCTGCTGTGCACAAGCTGTGTGGCCTTGGGCAGCCTCCTGAAACTTTCCAAGTCTCAGTTTACTCATCTGTTAAATGGGGGTATTGGTGATGCTGCTCTCATGAAGTTGTGAGGAGTGATTGAGAGAATGTATGGGGAGAGCTCAGCAGGGGGTCCAGGGGAGGAAACCCCCTCCTGGGCAGCTTAGGTGAGGTTGCCTGGTAGACCAGGCCCTGGCTGCTGCAGCTTCTCTGTGTCCCCAGGGTGGCCCTTATTGAGCCCAGAGTACACGCCCGGGACACTGTGACTGAGTAAGTCTTGGGTGGAGCCCTGTAAACACCCAGGCAGCACAGCTGGCCTCCCAGCTCAGCGTGTCCTTTGCATCAGGGCATGGATTTTCAGGGAGGGAGCCTTGGGCCCAGGGTTGGGCAGGTGCAGCACGCCAGGCCCTGGGGTGTGGGAACGGCATGGTGACTCACGAGGACTCTCTATCTGGGGCCTGGACACAGGCACCTGGCCTGTGGCATGATGTCCTGTGGGCTCAGAACTGTCCACACTGCCAGGCAACAGTGCTCGGCCTCGCCGGTCAGGGCACAAGATGCCGCTGGCTTGGGCCCTGCAGTGATGGCAGCGGCTGTCCTGCCCCGGAGCAGTTCTTGGGAGCGGGTGCTGTTCTAAACGCCTCACGCTCAGGTCGTCCCCACCACAGCTGGAGGAGGAAGGGATTCACATCCATTTTCCATTTCCAGAGGAGAACGCAGAGAGACTGAAAGAAGTCACGCCACACGGCTGGTACGCGGAGGGAACTGAAATCCCCAGCAGGTGGGATTTGAGCCCACGGAGTACTCATATAGCCACGAAGCTGGGCTGCTTCTCCAGGGACACAGGGGCTGTTGCCATCCCCAGTTCTGCCCTCCCCTCTCTCACAGAGCCCACGTTGTCTGGCCAGGGGTGTTATTCTGGACAGAGGTGGAGGTGGGTCAAGAGGGTGAGGTCAGGCGTGGGCGTCTCAGCTGGTGGCACTTCAGCGAGCTCTCATTGGCCCCAGGCTGGGAGGATGGGGTGAGAAGATGGGGTGAGAAGCTGTGGGGTGAGAAGCTGGGGTGCACAGGCAGGGGATGAAGCCAGATGAAGGTTGGGAAAGTGCTGAGGTCTTGCCTGAGTATCACTGTGGCGGGCTTCCGGTGGTTTCCCGATGGCACACGCCTAAACAAGCAAGCATGGCCCCCAGCCCGGAGGACATCAGGAGGCGGGTTCTCGGACTTCACCTGATGAGGCCTATCTGCGTCCACCTTGCCCTCTGCTCAGCCACCAGCTCCTCTTTCAGGTTTTATTTGCTTGGCAGATTAGATTTGCAGTAAAAATAGCCTCCCCCACCCCAAGTCAACCTTTCTGGGTGTCAGACCAGAGAACTGTAGCGGAAATAAAACTGAAGATCAGTCTCTCTGAGCCTTCCAAGGAAGCCTGGGAGTCAAGGTTACTCCCCCTGTTCCCACAAAACCAGAAGAAAAGGTGTTTCCATTTTCCAACCAGGGCTGGAGAAGACATACCTTCCTGCACGAGGGAGGTGTCGCCACATAAATCTGAAGCTGCATGATCAGAACAGATTTCCTGTAAGAAGGGGAGAGAGGGTGAGTCTGGTGGGGCTCTGCTGTGTCCGGGGTGACCAGCTCTCCCAATTTTCCCAGGACTGAAGGGCTTTTACCACTATCACCTGGGGAAGCTGGGATGGCTGGTTACCATCACCATATTTTCTGGCCATTCTAGAACCTTCTGTGTCTGCTTGGGTGTGAGGCCCTTGCCTTCCTGCACCCACAGACTTGCTTTTCTAGGGCCCAGGAGTCAGTCCGCAGCCTCCTTTACTCCCTGGGGGCCCATAAAAGGAGACAATGCGGGAGAAAGTCAGGATGGGGCTGCGCTCCCACACCCTTTAATGAGGAGGCTGAGGTCTGGCCTGATGACAGTGCCCTTTGAAGAACTGACAGAGACTTGGTCTTCCCGGCGACATGGGGTGGTGGAGATGAGTCTCGACTCAGCCACTAGCCCAACGGGGCTCCTTTTTTACGAGGCCGGGAAATGTTCACAGAAAGCTAAAGAACAGGTTAATGAGGGGTTCTGATAGAAAGTGGTATTAACTTTAATGAGGGGAAAACACTTTGTAAAGGCCAACGCCCACTGGGGCAGAGATATAAACTGGGCGCGAGGACCTGCGCTCCCATTGGGGGTGTCGACTCAGAGCTGTCATCGTGTCGGGGCTGCTGAGATATGGCTTCCAAGTGCCTCAAGGCCAGCTTCTCCTCGGGGTCTCTCAAGGGCCCAGGCGGGGGCACTCGCATGTCCACCATGTACTCCAGCAGCTCTTGCAAGCTCCCGAGTCTCGCCCGCGGGACCCGGAACTTCTCTGCGTGCTCGGCTGGGGTGGGCAGGAGTAGTTGCAGGGCCGCCAGCTGCCTCCCTGCTCTCTGCCTCCCCTCCGGAGGCTTTGCCACCAGCTACAGCCTGGGAGGGGGCTGGTTTGGGGAGGGCATCCTCACGGGCAGTGAGAAGGAGACCATGCAGTCCCTGAACGACCGCCTGGCCAGCTACCTGGAGAAGGTGCGCCAGCTGGAGCAGGAGAACGCCAGCCTGGAGAGCCGCATCCGGGAGTGGTGTGAGCAGCAGGTGCCCTACTTGTGCCCTGACTACCAGTCCTACTTCCGCACCATCGAGGAGCTACAAAAGAAGGTGAGGGTGTGGTGACTTCGGGGTCTCCAGCACTGACTGGAAGCCAGAACGTCTGTGGTGGTGGCGGCCACCTTCCCCCCGAGCACGTCAGAGGTCTCACGCTCACACCTGTGGGTCCTTTCTTCCTCCTGGTAAACCAGGGAAGGGCATATGACCAGCCCCCTCTGCAGATGTGAACACTGAAGCCCAGGCTGGCTAAGTCACTTATTCAGGGGCACCTAGTTGGCATGAGTGGACCCAGAACTTAAGCGCAGATTCTATGGACTAACCGGTCATGTAACCTTTCGTACCACAACCTACCTCTCTGTTAATTTCTTCACTTTTCTTTTTTAAGGTCAGGGGTTGAGTTTGTGTGTTTGGTGAAGATCAGCCTTCTAATAACTAGCTCAGGCAAGGAAAAGCTTCTCAGAAGTTTCCCACTTGTCCAGCCCACATCCACGAGCGTCCTGGGGCTCCTGAGAGGGACCATTTATGCCGGGGCATCAGAGGGTGCTGTTGGTGCTGGCTTGCCCTGAGCCCCCTGCAGACTGGGAGTTAGATAGGAGAACTCCATGCCAGCCCTTCCCTGCAGCATTTCCAGGCCTCCCTCTCTCAGACCCAGGTTACAGGGGCCAGACCAAAGCACTGTGGGGACCGTGGGTGTTTCCCATCACGGCTTCAGCCTCCTGGAGCCTCATTTGCCAAGAGCCCAGGTTGGGTGACCCCATCCCTCCAAGGGCATCCCAGGCCTGCTTTGGGGACCTCTAAAGAGCAGAAAGTCCTTCCTTTCACTCAAGGCACTTCTTCATCCCCCAGACCCTGTGCACCAAGGCGGAGAACGCCAGGCTGGTGGTGCAGATCGACAATGCCAAGCTGGCCGCGGACGACTTCAGGACCAAGTGAGTTGTCCTGCTCATCCTTTGCTTGGGGCTGGTAGAGCTGCATGGGAGAGAAGCCTGGACTTGGGGTTTTGGCTGCACAGACTTTCTGAGGCACTAAGGCAGTACACACAGCACCAGGCAGCCTGGGGTGGGAGACGACTTCGATATAAAATGGAAATGAGGCTTCAGGGGTCTCGTCTCGTGGGGTATCTGCTAGGTACGAGATGGAGCTGTCCATGCGGCAGCTGGTGGAGTCGGACATGAATGGCCTGCGCAGGATCCTGGATGATCTGACCCTGTGCAAGGCTGACCTGGAGGCCCAGGTGGAGTCCCTGAAGGAGGAGCTGCTGTGTCTCAAGAAGAACCATGAGGAGGTGAGTGTGTGGGGGGAAAGTGAGCATGGGGAGGAGGTGAGCATGGGGAGGAAGTGAGCATGGGGAGGAGGTGAGCACAAGAGCAGGTAGGCACATGTGGGAGCAGGTGGGTGACAGCGCTGATCCTGGTCTGTGCCACAGGAAGTGAACTCCCTGCGCTGCCAGCTCGGTGACCGGCTCAACGTCGAGGTGGATGCTGCTCCGCCTGTTGACCTGAACCGTGTTCTGGATGAGATGAGGAGCCAGTATGAGACCCTGGTGGAGAACAACCGCCGGGACGCCGAAGACTGGTTCACCACCCAGGTGGGCACTGGAAATGGTGTGGGAGACATGGGCTGGGTCCCGTGGAAATGACTTTGGGGCTCTGAAGCCAGAAACCTGGGCCTGAGTTCCAGCTGTTTTGACCTCACTGTGCACCTCGGGCAGGTCGCTGTCCTCTCAGTTAGTGTCCTCAGGCATGAATGAATGGGTTGGTCGGGGCGATCTGGAAGGTCTTTCTTGGCTCATGATGCCACACAGCCTCTGGAGAGCTCTAATGCCCAGTACCAGGGTTCCTGAGTCCCAGGTCCCCAGGGGCCCCCAGGTTCCTCACAGTTTCGCTGTGTGAATGTTGCAGACCGAGGAGCTGAACCAGCAGGTGGTGTCGAGCTCCGAGCAGCTGCAGACGTGCCAGGCAGAGATCATCGAGCTGAGACGCACGGTCAACGCCCTGGAGATTGAGCTTCAGGCCCAGCAGAGCATGGTGAGGCCCAAGGCTGGAGTGGGCTGCCCAGGTCAAAGTCAGGGCACACTGGACCTGTTCTCCTCGCTCTGACCACTTAGCCAGCCGCAGAGGTGCAGTTCTTGAGCATCATGGATTTTCTGTGCAGAGAAGAGTGAAGGCCCAGCCCCCACTCACAAATGTCCCAACGGACAAAGATAGGAGGCTTGTAGCAACTGACACATCCTGCTGCAGCTCCTGTATTTGTGTGTGCAGAAACAGTCTGAGTAACTATGGCTCCTGGGGGTTATCATTAGTGGGGGAGATACTCTAGATCAGGGAGGATTCAGGGGCTACTCGGTTCTGTGGTTCATCCTGATGTCTAAATTTTCATTCTTGTATTTGAGGTCCTTTGAGATCCAGATGGATTTGGTGCATTTTATTTGCTCCTTCTCTGACCCCTAAATTCCTTTCTGACACATACCTTGCCTCACAGAGAGATGCCTTGGAGTCCACCCTGGCAGAGACAGAGGCTCGCTACAGCTCCCAGCTGTCCCAGATGCAGTGCATGATCACCAATGTGGAGTCCCAGCTCGCTGAGATCCGGGCTGACCTGGAGCGGCAGAACCAGGAGTACCAGGTGCTGCTGGACGTGCGGGCCCGGCTGGAGAGCGAGATCAATACATACCGGGGCCTGCTGGAGAGCGAGGACTGCAAGTGAGTATTGCTGCCCACTGCCTTCTAAAAGCAATGCATGCGGTTCTGGGGAGGCAGCATGGAGCCTGGGAAGAGCCCAGCATCCAGAGTCAGAGCCCTGGGTTTTAGTTCAGAGCCCTGGGTTTTAGTTCTGGTCTTGTTACAATTTCACCAAGTGACTCTGGCAAGCCCCCTTTCACTCTGGACCACTGTTTCCTCATTGGAAGAAGATGTGATTTTAAGGTGCTCTGAGTGATTGAGAACAGCAACTGGAGAATCGTTGCAATCTGACCTTTCTGTCTTTCTCCTAGGCTCCCTTGTAACCCGTGTGCTCCTGACCACTCGCCCTCCAAGGCATGCCTGCCCTGTCTTCCTGCGGCCCGCACAACCTGCAGCCCCCGCCCTATCTGTGTGCCCTGCCCTGGGGGCCGGTACTGAGAGCAACTGAGCCAGAAAGCCAAGGCTATGGTCTCCAGGCCTTGGCCTCTATTCAACCCTAACCCTCAAAACCTAACCCCCCTTCTCTGGGCAGAGCCCGGGCCCTGGGCCTGGCCTTGGAAAGACTTATTGCAAATATACATCTCAAAGTTCCTCAAGTCTGTCACTCAGGCTCCAGCCCTAAGGCTTCAACTCCTCATCATTTCAACAGGCCCAGGGTCTCAGACTGCCTCCTGGTCGGGCTTCCCTGTGGGTGCTGTTTCAGTGGGTTTGAAATGCGATGGATGATGTCCATGAGCACAACAATAAAGCATGCTTGCTCTCATCACTCTGCTCTTGTTGCTTTGTGTCTCTGCAAGGGGAAGGAGTGGCCCTTTGGCAGATGAGTGGGGGCTGTTTGATCTATGACCCTGGGAATGGCAGGGCCTCTAAACCCCTGTTCAGAGTAGTGGAGAGGGGCCCACCATGGAGATTGTTGCTCAGTTTTCTGTTGAAGAACTTTCTCTAAGACTCCAGGATGATGACAGGCATTATCAAACCTCTCCCACAATAGCCTTAGTGTACCTGGTCATCTAGATCCCAGAGGAGGAAGACAAAGCTGAGAGCCTCTCAACCAGGGTGAAGCATCTCAGACTTGATCCCCCCGCACCCTTGGTTGTTATAAGGGCAGTTGTGGAGCCCCACGCCCAGGGGCCTTTGGGAGCATGTTCACACCCACCCCCTTCGTCCACTGTGCTCCATTCATGTAATCCTTCCCCTTCAGCAGCCCTCTTAACAGCCCTTTCCTTGCTGCTCTATGTGCCTTGGTGTCCTGTGGCCGTGATCGGTGATGTTATGATGTGGCAGTGACCTGGGGTGTCTGTGGCTCCCACACAAGAGGGGACTTAATGGATGCTGTGTTGTCTGTGTTGACAGCTCCATTGGCCATCCCCTGCCTCTCCTCTCCTTGGGCATCTCCTCCCTGAGACACAGTACTAAAGCTAGCTCAATTAATAACTCTACAATGGCCTTGAAGTGTTCAAATGAAGAGTCACATGACCCTCCTTATAAATTGAAAACTAGATATGATTTAGCTTAGTGACAAAGGCACATCGACAGCCAAGGCAGCTAGAGGCTTGGAACTGCACCATGTGAAAGCCAAGGAAAGTTCTCGAAGGGAGTTAAAAGTGCTACTCCAGTGAACACGTGAATAATAAGAAAATGGTACAGCCTGATTGCTGATAGGGAGAAAATTTAAGCAGTCTAGATAGAAGATCAAATCTGCCACAACATTTCCTTAAGCCAAAGCAAGACCCTAAATTTCTTCAATTCTACGAAGGCTGAGAGAGGTGAGGAAGATCATCTAAAATCATTTGAATTATTGATTAGCTAGCTTGTCCTAGTGTATTTGGTTATGAGGAAATCAATTCCAAACAAATCATAATAGGTAGCAAAGAAGGGGAAATTATGCACTCTGTGTCTGGTCATGTTCACACAGCTTTGATTATGAGGAAGCATTCTAGTTATTGAACTTTAAAATGATGTATCTGAAAATCGCCCCATAGCTTCTCTACCTTGAGTTGATAGGACTTGATGGCCTTCCCCCGCCCTCACTAACACTTCGAGGAACATATGAAAATTAAGACAAGAACTTACATCCCAATATTAAATCAATATTAATGTGCGTACATTAAACCTGGAGTGTGAGAGCCCACAGCATTGAGCAGGACTGAAAATCAGAGGTGCTGCATGGTACTTTCCCAAGGAATGCCCAGGGCTTCTGTGCCTGGAGACACCTGCTCCTTGTCTCCTGGCTTAGCTAATCTCGGGGGTGGCAGGAGCTGATACACAGCAAGGACCCAAGTGAGTCCTCCCTGTCCATTGCAGAAAGTGACAGCAGGGTCTGATCTAGCCTGTCAACCTCAGCCAGTCCAACCTTAGCCAGTCCAACCTTAGCCTATCCAACCTCAGCCTGTCCAACCTCTGCCTGTCCAACCTCTGCCTGTCCAACCTTAGCCTGTCCAACCTCAGCCTGTCCAACCTCTGCCTGTCCAACCTCTGCCTGTCCAACCAATAATCAACCTCTCAACAGCTCCATACGTGTAGGTGACCAACAAGGGAGAGGACCAGGAGATGGAGCATCTTCCTTGCAGAGATGTTCATGATATTGAATTCTTTCCCCCGAGTAGGGTCCTTCCTCTTTCTCAATAATGTCCAGCTAATAAAGTATCCCTGATTCATGGGCTTTCTCCCTGTGCCTCCAGTTCACTCTTTCTTCCCTGATATTATTTCTCCTGCTCGGTATGACGATGATGCAGGTTAAGAAGCTTCAGCAGATCTTTCCCTGGATTTATACCACTGCTGGTATCGATGCAGCTTCTGTCACCCACACATTTCCTTGTTAGGGGGCCAGGCCTCTTCCCACAGGGAATGCTCTCATTAATTGGAGCAGCTGTTGGCCCATGGGATTGTGGACTTTCTCAGGGTGGGAGTGGGCGGGGGTGCAGGTGGCCAGGCCACCATGGTCTCCTGGAGCCCCGCCCTGATAATGAAAGCCCAGACACAGAGCTGGTCCTTTGAAGATGTGTCCTGAAGCTCTGCCCTGGTGGTCAATGACAGGAGCCCAGAGTCCTGCGTGAGCCAAATGACATGCTTGGTCCCTTTTATGAGGAAAAGAACTCCTCGTTGGAAACTCAATTATAAATTAATTAGCAGCTTCCTGTGGGGCTCAGGATCAACAGTAACACCCCCCATGATGACTTTCTAGCGTGAGCCCCCTCACTCCAAGGGTATAAAAAGGCCTGAGCGGATGGAGTCTACAGACGCTGGTGATCCCGGGAGCTGCAGACAAGATCTATCCAACATGACATCCAGCTGCTCACCAGCCTCCGTCAAGAGCTGCCCCCGGCCCTCCTCTGTCTGCTCCAGCAACATGAGCTGCCGACCCGAGCTGTGCCTGGGCTACGTCTGCCAGCCCATGACCTGTGTGCCTTCTGTCTGCATGCCCACCAGCTACCGGCCAGCCAGTTGCTTCCCCAAGACCTACCTCTCCAGCTCCTGCCGGCCCAGCAGCTGCCGGCCCACCAGCTCCATGGGGACCTGCAGTTGGTTCTGTGAAGGGACCTTCAATGGCAATGAGAAGGAGACCATGCAGGTCCTGAACGACCGCCTGGCCAACTACCTGGAGAAGGTGCGCCAGCTGGAGCAGGAGAACGCCAGCCTGGAGAGCAAGATCCAGGAGGCCTGTCAGTCCCAGGTGCCCACCATGTGTCCTGACTACCAGTCCTATTTCAGGACCATCGAGGAGCTGCAGCAGAAGGTGAGGGCCCGCAGTGAGCAGACTCTCTGGGGAGGCGACCGGAGTGGCTGCCATTCCAGATCTGAATCTCGTGAATGACTAAGCTGTGTTCATGGAAAAGAGAGTCCCCAGGGCAGAGGAGCCTCTCATGATCTAGCACTCAGGCACAGCCCTGCCTGCAGAAGGAGGCTGGGGTCTCCTTTCAGTTCTATTAGTGGTTTTGAGAGTATGGCTTTGGGGGGGTCCCTTCTCTTCTTGAAGCCTCAGTTTCCTCTTCTGGAAAATGGGGATAATAGTGGTCCTTGTCTGATAGGGCTGTTCAGTGTACCCATGGGTTGCTGCAGGTAAGTGCTCGGCAGGGCCCCGGCACAGGTGCCTTTCCAGGAAGTGTTAGTATTCAGGACTAGCGCCAGTTCTGGACTAGTTCTGTCACGTGAATGACTTCAGACTGAATGAGATTCTTTCCCTCCACATGGCTCACTGCATTTCGGAATCAGAAGACCCAGGTGCTCAGAAAATAAATCGCAAGTTCTCCAAGGCTGGCAGTTCACTAAACAGCCCCCAAGTTCCAGGGAAAGGGCTTCTGCAGGGATGGGTGCCAGGCTGCTGAGCCCCCCCGCCCCAGGCTATCATATTCTCATTCAGCTTCTTTTTCTTTCTTCTCCGCCCGGACTAACCCTGTGTGTTGGCCCCCAGGTTCTGTGCACCAAGGCCGAGAACGCCAGGATGGTCGTGCACATTGATAATGCCAAGCTGGCTGCCGATGACTTCAGGACCAAGTGAGTTTGGCCAGGGGCAGGGCAACCCTCTCCCTGCACATGCTGGGGGGCAGCTTTGCATTGGCTTCACAGGGAGTGGGCAGAGCACTAGCAGTTCAAGGTCTTCCCTGGGTCTGCGCTCAGTTCCAGCCCTCAGCGGCTGACCCTGTCTCCTCACAGGTACGAGACGGAGCTGGCCCTGCGGCAGCTGGTGGAGGCTGACACCAACGGCCTGCGCAGGATCCTGGACGAGCTGACCCTGTGCAAGGCTGACCTGGAGGCCCAGGTGGAGTCCCTGAAGGAGGAGCTGCTGTGTCTCAAGAAGAACCATGAGGAGGTGAGTCCCCAAGTCGAGCTGAGGTGGCCCTTTAAGGCCGAGTGGGAAGTGTGTGTGGTTTGGGGCCATTCCCAGGCCTGCCACATACTGCTTCTGTGACTCTGCCCATTTACTTGACCTTTGTGAGCCTCCTCTTTTGTAAAGCAGGGATAAGCCTATCACACACAGTTGCTGCAAGGAGTAACGTCGGTTATGGGCACAAAGCCCCAATCACCTGGTCAGTGCTCAGAAATACCGGCAACCTCCTCTCTGCATTTCCTAGCTCTGGGTGATGCCAAAGGCTGTGGCCATTGTATTTGCTTTGCTCACAAGAGCTGCACACAGGGGTAGGTGGTCTTGGGGCCAGAGCAGACTTGTGTTCTTGAATGCCCCATGCCATGGCCTGTCCCTCCTGCTGGGGGGCCCCATCTGTCTTTTCTAAGAAGAGCTGAACTGCAGTATTTTTTTATTTTTCCTATCCCCGTCCTTGTTTTACCTCTTCTCTTCTGCTTGCTTATGATATACATTGTCCAAAAGCCCCAGGTCAACCCTTTACTTTCTGATTTTCCCTGGACTCCTGCAGGTCCCTGGAGGGAAGGCCCTCCCCTGGCATCTGTGTGTGCAGCGCCCACCTGAGCTTTGGAGTTTT